TAGAAAATCTAAATTTTAAAGATTATATCATATTTGAAATTAAAAATAATTGTAATGGAATACAATAATGAACTTTGTCACAACTTTTTACTTTACTACATTGAAAAAGCTTACAAAAGACATCAACAAAATACATTAAAAAATAAAGATGAATAATGACAATACTTTATTAGAAAAGCTAAAGACAAATTAATGTTTGTATTTTAAAATTAAAAGGAAGGATTAGATTTGAAAGTATTAAAGGTTTTCTGTTTAAATGTGGTTTGTCAAGAGATTCAAATAGCTGAATTATGTATACATTTTTTAGGATATTATCTTTTACCAATGAATCAAAGACCTGAATGAAAGATTCAAACATTCACTTTAAATGTTTCATTGCACCAAATACAGACACAGACACACACAGCAATTAAACCATGAAATGGTTCTATTTAAAACTTGATAAAAATATAAGTATTTACACCACCTGGGTATCACAGATTTTACAATTACATAGAGGACTACAATTACCATGAAGATTTGTAAAATCTAGTAGCTGGTACCTAGATTTGAATTAACTGTCTGAAGAATGAACATTATTAATATTCCCACCATTTAGAGATTGTCAGTTTTACAAGTATACAAATATATGGACTGTAATATGTCATTGGATTTCAGTATTTGTTAAGCCATGATTGGTTTGATCCCTTTAACATCAGTCCAAGTTTGAAGAATTCATAGTTGGGAGAAAGGAGAAAAAAAAGTTATATTGTTAGATCTCTGAAAAAAAAAAAAAAAAAAAAAAAAAGAAAAATATAAAACCAATGGTTATGATTTAAGAATTTATCAACTTGTCTATGTGAACAATGACAAATAGTGGATTAAAAAAAAAAAGAAAAAAAAAAAAAGTCTTTATATATTTGCTAAGTGTCCTGGAAAGATTTTAAAAGCACAGTTCAAGAATTAACATTTTATGCCAAACCTAATCCAAAGTTTCTAAAATTAATTTAAATATAATTTCTAGAATAAAATAAGAACTGGCTGATTTAAATTTAGAGTAAAAAAAAAAAAAATAAAAAAATACATAAATAAAAAAAAAAAGAAAAGAAAAAGACCTTTAAGAGTAAAGTAAAAGATTAATGAATTTCATTCCAAATGTGCAATTATGCATAACATTTTTCTTTTTAACATTTAAGATACAAATAAATTTAGATATACAATCATAAAAAAATTACTAAAAAAACTGAAAATTTATAAATTTGAAAGTATTTTTAGAATTTTAAAAAATAAAAAAAATTAAGTTTCTCAAAAAATTCCACTCCTTTTTGTTTTTCACGACTTATTAGATTTATAATAGATTTTCTGGATTATTTTTCTTTTATAGAAGACAATGAAACAGAAATGATTCTTATGGAAGTAATTGGATTTCAACAAAATCGTACTATTTCATATTGTAGACTTTACAAGTACAAACACTACTGGTGTTGGTTTGAAGTGACTTGTTTCTACTTAAGCCAAATGACAAAAGAGGCAACAACTACAAGTGAACCATTAACACTCAGCTAAATATTATAAAAAGTGTGCAAATATTTTCAAAAGGCAGATATTAAAAAAGAAAAAGAAACAATTTTTCAAATATAATCATTTTATACATTTACTTAGACAATATTTTAATTTAAAAGGTGTATATTAAGAATTTCATTATAAGGATTCATCTCATTTTGCAACGAAACTTGACATTGCAAATGTATCACCATCGTAAAACTGGTTAATAATCACTTGGAGGAGAAAAAATATTTCCAAGTTATGGTAGAAAAACACACAAAAAGAATTTATGCTAAAACACACTAAGGAAAAAAAAAAAAGAAAAAAAATTCTGGAAATCTATACAAATGGAGTAAAAAAAAAAAAAAAAAAAAAAAAAAAAAATTAATGCAATATAACTTTACATTTTTCCAGTATTTAATATACAGGAAGAAATCACTGTAACTATTAAACATATAAAATTTTTATCCAGCATTTAAATATTCCTTTTAGATTTATTTATTCATTTTTTAAAATCAAGATAAACCAAAGCTGCAATTAAAATTTACAATGTTAATTAAAATTCACTGAAAAAAAAAAAAAAAAAAAAAAAAAAAAAAAAAATACATACATACATATAAAACATAAGTGTGTGTGTGTGTGTGTGTGTGTGTGTGTGCGCGTGTGTGTGTGTATACACAAATGCAGGATTTTAAAGTTCTTTCTCTAGGGCTGGAATTAGAAAAATCCATTTTGATTTGTAGAAAAAATGTAGGCCTCTTGTGAAACAAAAATTATGAACATTTGCCACAATTAGAGTTTTTTTTTTTTTTTTGTTTCTTTCAGTTTTTTTTATAGTGGCAGTAAAATGACAGTAATAAAAATATAAACAATTTATTTTTTTTTTTTATTTAATAAAAAATGAAAATAGATTTTCAGAAATTAAAGGGGAAAAATCATTGGCTTACTATTTCTTTCATTTAGCTGAGAGAGAAAATAAAGTGAAGATATACGGATTGAAAATTGCAAACTGTCACTAGTCACATGACTGATCACAAAAAGGCATATATAAAAGACTTGCCCAAGGTTTATATGCCAAATGACAGGATAATTAACAAAAATATAAGTTTATTTAAAATCAAAAAGTTAAACTGAAAATATCCAACTGAGTAAAGATAGAAATTAACAATTTACTATTTATTTTCTATAAAGTGATTAGGATATGAATGTTATTGAGTTAGGCTATTAAATGAAAGAGGAAAAGTGCCAAGTTGAAAGAATTGCTCAAGATCTACAAGTTATTTTCAGTACCAATGTGTTTATCAAATAATTAAGTCACTTAACCACAATAGTGATGTTATTAGATACCTGTTCCAATTATTTTGTTTCCTTACATTTAAAAACCAAAGACTTTAATAACAGAATGAAAGCCACAAGATAGGGTATCTCACAGATGTAATTAAAAATGCTTAGTCAAAAAATTGATCTGAAATGTAGCAGAGATTAGAACATTTACTTAACTAAAAATGGAGTACTTTCATGACAGAATTGTAGAAATGCATAGTTTTATGTGAAAGTTGAGAGGCTTGATTGCCAATTACAATCAAAAGATTAATTGGAGATTAAAAAGAAGTCACGTCAATTAGCTGTAATTGAATACAATGGCAATGTAAGGGAGCCTCTCTTTGCATTACATTTAGTCTAATGATAGAAATGAGCAATACTAAGTTCATGTCATCTGTGTTTTGTTGACCTCAAAAAGTTTTGTAATTGCCAGTTTAAAAAACGTATGCATATGAATTAATTCAACTGATATTTAAATTAAATGTTTCAATTTAATATTTATTTCAGTGATCATAAAATGATTAAATCATGTCAGCCATGAGATTTAAGCTATATTTTAGAATGATTCTTAATTTTGATCTCTCACTTGAAAGCAATTTTTATGAAGATAGGAGTGTGTATTATCCAATTCAGGATTAGTTTAAGTCCCTGTTAACAGTCTCAGTGGTATTTATAGACTATTTCACTCCCTTATAGTTTTTTTCAAGTCACATATCAAATTTGAATAATGATTTAGTTTTGTGCCAATTGTCACTCTTAAATGTGGGGAGAATTATTTACTTCTGTTCTCCTGAATCTATGAATTTAGTCATCACTTCAGTTTGTTTTTTTTTTTTTTTTTTTTTGATGAATACAGACCTGTGCTACCAGATCTAGGTGAGAGAAAAAAAATGTACGTCAATAAGAAATTTGTTAGGTAACAATTGACAGGAATTAAACTTAAAGAAAATGAAGTGTAACAATGTAAAAAGAAAAAAAAAAGTCAGAGCAGTCAGTTTCCTTTTTTGACAAGCTCAAGTCACTGGGCCAGCCGATTACAGAAATGGTTTATTAATTTTCTTTTATGATTTAATTATTTCTAAAAGGTGAGAGAAGAAAGTAAGCATGCTTACATCCCTTTCCAAAGCCTGGATCAGAAGCAAGTGTTGCCAAAATGGTTAGCTGATTGATAGGTGGAAGAAAGTAAAGCAGAAAGAGAAGGACAAGATGATAACAGCATTATTATTATTTTTTTTTTATCATCAGCAAAAAAAAAAAAAAAAAAAAAAAAAAAGAAGCAGATTACTGCTTAGTTACTTGCAATGTCTACAACCTGTTTAAAACCTAAACAGTAAACTTCAGTTTTTCTTTTTTTAATAGAAAAAGTCGATTTTTCTTTCAAAGAGTCTTCCCTACAATTTTGATTTAAATTTTTGTTTTCAGCTTCCCTTCATTTCCTGATACTTATAGTATCATGCAGTCAAAACTCCACATTGCAGATATCTTTTTTGTCACCAATTTTGTAAATTCCAAATGAGCTCCTCAGTCAGTCTATATCACTGTAACTGGTTAAGTACGGACAGTAAAAGCAAGTGAAACAATTTGGATATTTCATTTTTGTTTTCTTTTATATTTTAAAATCTCCATTCCAGTAACAGAATTTCGTTGGTTAAATGTCATCCAAATTGATATAATACAGTAGAAATATTTTTTATTTCATTTTCTCCTTTATATATTGTATTTACCTGAGCATCATCTTATTTTTCTCCAATATTTTTTTTCTTTCTTATATATATATATATATATATATATATAAAAACATTTTCAGTTAACTAAAAAGGAAAAATTTGCCACCCTCTTTTTATTGGAGAACTGGATCTTGGTCCTCTAGTTGGTCTGATGTAAGCCTGTATATCCACAGCACCATCTTGAAAGCCATATGTCTAATGACATATGTAGGATGAGATTGAAAACATTGATGTTATCTTTATTTAATCTCTTTGTACATACCTATTGTATGTTGTCACAGTAGATCTATTATACAAAACCGTTTGTTACGAAGTGAGAGGAGGGAGAGAGAGCTTCATGTTCAGTTTTTATGCATATAAACTAACAGCATTTCCTCTTGATGAATGTACAAAGGGTTTATGAACTTTTTAAAAAGTGCTACTGTGTTATACAGCTGTTGATGTTTTGGGTCTATTTTTTCCTCTCCTTTGTGCTAAAGAAGACGCTCCCACAGGTTCAAGGGTTGTCTTGGGCTGTGCGTTCAGAGCCTTGTATGTTGCTACCATTGCTCCCTGGAAGTTGAAAAACAAGTCATTAATAAAAACAATGTAGACAAAAAAATAAATAAAAATTTAGCCACATTCAATCATTAAATGTGACTAAACAACAAATTTTCAATTGCAAACTTTGCGTATCTTAATCTACATAACCTTCCTATGAACTGTCCAACTCAACTATAGAAAAAGTTGAGAATTTTTCTAGCATTTGACAGATTTTACAAGAACTTGAACATATTAAAACAGTTTTTCAAGCTATTTGAAACTGGCTATAAAAAAAAATCAATAGAAGCAGAAAAGCATCTTAGGTTTTATGGATTTTAATGAGACATGATTATATTGGCACTAAGACTGAAGTCTGGTGCAAAAGAGAAAGCTTGTCAAAAGTAAGCCATTCTAAGGATTAAAACAGTTTAAAAAGAACTCATTATGGTAAATAGGTTTTCATTTACATTTAATAAACTTCTCTTCAAGGAGTAAAGCAGTTAACTTTTTAAAGGGAAGAAAATATACAAGTTCATTTGTGCCCACATGACATCAATCATTGATAATGAAATCTAGAAAAAAAAAAAAAAAGATCAGTATAAAGAAACTTAGTACAAAGTACAATTTCTTCTTGCAAAGTCTTCCTTTTTGTTCCTGAAAATTTTCTTTTAGGATGTTTAGTTTATACTGGCAAGAACCAAATAACATTATTCACTATCTTCATGGAGTAGTAGATTTCCTAAACTGTTAGCCAATAAAACCTCTTCTTATTTTAATGCACATCAAAGAACTTGGACTTTTCCATTTCAAGAAAGAAATGCAATAAAGATTATGATAATCATGAACACTTTATAATCAATTTGTTTCAGACAGTCTACAAAATGGTTAAAAAAACAACAAAAAAAAACAAAAAACAAAAAACAAAACCCCCAAAACAAAAAAACTATTGCATTCTAAATGATAAAAAAAACATTTACAATAAAACAAAGCAAAAAAAAAAACAAAACAAAAAAAAACAAAAAAAAAACTACCCCCCAAAAAAAAAAACCAAACTAAATTATAAGAAATAATGAGAAAAATAATAAAATAAAAGTGAGTTAAAACCTTAACTAACTCCTATTTTTCTCACTATTTACATTATTTGGACTATTGTCCTCATCTTTGTCGCCATATTTATTACGTCTTCAAGGACACATGGTACAATGGATAAAGGCATTAGTTAGATCCAGTGACAGGACCCAAAGAGTGTGAGTTCAATACCCATTAAGGCAGTGGAGAACTTGGAGAGGGGAATTAACAGGAGATAACTGATAATTGATATCCATTAAACATGGCACGTGGAACTAGAAGAGTCTACCCCAGTGATCGAAATAAAGGGTTCAGTTCGACATTCCAACCACCTTAAGGCTGGAGTGTACAACAGCTGAAATGTAATAAATATGGTGACAAAGATGAGGACAATAGTCTGAATAATGTAAATAGTGTACATAATAACTCATCTCAGAAATATAGACAGATCCTATTTTTCTATAAATATAAACAATTTCTTAAAAAAAATTATATTTGGTATATTCATAGTTATCTAATAATTATTAATAGTTAACATTTGTATCAATTTTTTCCTATAGAAATAAAATGCTGAATAATGTGTATAGACATTAGTTTCCAATTATATTCAATTAAATAAATAGCAAATGTGAAGTTGTTTTTCCATAACGTTCAGTGTTGAATCTCCTCCTTTCAGGAAATATGGTTAAGAATCATGAGCATTTATGCCATGTAATGATTTTTAAATGACATTGTTGATTTAATTTGCATAGAAACTTTTCTTAAATCATTATGGACACTAAATGTTAGAGTTATTACAATACAAAACAGTTCTTTTGAAAACTTTTCCAAGGATAAATGCTCAGGAAAAAAAAAAACAGTGCAGTATACAAAAACTTGCATAATTGTAACAAAAGAAAATTTTTATATCAAATTGTCATCAAGATGACAATTTCATTTTATTAATTTAAATTTTCCAAAACTTTCAAATAATATATCCTAAAATCATGAAAGCTCTTTAGTAAATAAATTCATACCCCAACCTTATTTTATTTTTAAAAAAATTGAAATGTAAAATGCCTTTCGCTATAATTCTATGACACTTGACCAAAAATATGATGGTAACAGTTTCAGTTTTTTTTTTTTTTTCAAAGGATTGTTATAAAGAATAAGAAGAAGACACAAATGAAAATTCAGTCAGTGAGAGATGGTGAAGACAAGGAAAAAAGTACATTAAATCTATTAAATTAGTTATAAATGAAATTTGAAGAGTATCCAGATGGCGAAGGAATGCATGTAAAATGAAATGGAGTACATTCAAATGTTATCTAAGTAAGTAAAGATAATGAATTACTAATAAATGTGGAGAGAAGTGAAAATTCAGTTTATTTCAGATGAAATGAATTTGGAGCTAAAAATATCAAGTAAAAGAATTGAAGGGGATAAAGATTAGAGTGGGAGGAAAATGAAATATTCTTTAAAGATGAAAAGGAGGCAAACAAAGAGAGTAGATATAAGTTAAAAGAGTTCAGGAGCAAAGGCATTGATGATTGATATTTTATGGCAGCAAATTCCAGGCTTTTGTTTTCTTTTCCTCACTCACATAACAATTGCAGATTTGTAGCTGTAAAAGATTAATCAACAAAGATATTAGTTGCCTAATTTATAATCATGGATTTCTTTATCAATATGTGCTAGGGAAAATGGAATTACATTTCAGTATCACTTGCTCCTGTCAAGGGAAATAAAACTTGAGGAATAATTGAGCCGATGTCCCAAAATTCAAATCAATTTGAAAACTACATGATCAAAAAAAATGAATTCAAGCCAAGTTGAAGGGTTTGTAGATGTGTGAAAGAGTATGTGTAGATGCATAGCAAAATATTTACAGCAAATTCTAATTGGTGTAATAATGACATTATCAGTAGCAATTTTTATTATGGAGAAGAATCATTAGAACTAATGCTTAAAAAAAAAAAAAAAAAAAAAAAGACATTAGTTATACAAACAATAATGCAGAAATAATAATCGAGTTATCAATATCGAGAACCTACCAAGCTAGTCTTTCAGGCTATTACAACTGTAGTCATGGTAAGCTGCAAAAGGTGTTAATCACCAACAAATTTCCAGCCCAAAACACTTTCAACCTTAAGAACACATACCATGGTTTATCCCAGAGACCAATTAGCTAGCAGAAGGAATTATTCAGGTACCCAGTAAAAAAACTAAGAATATCATTGTACAATAAGTTAAACCGCTTTGTTTAATAGATTGTCTATTTCCTACTGGCACCACTAGTTGATGTTAGAATACAAGTCAAAGTCAGTATCTCCAACTTTACTCCCTCAAAACTTATCAATAAGGTAGAAGCAACCCAGCCATAGACAATGCTATAAAAAATAATTAAATAATCCACTTCTCATTTTATTATATATGACCCCAAAGATTTCGATACCATTAGTGGCTTGTTCCAAGGTTAGGTTAAAATTAGTTATTTTACACAAACATGACATCAATTCGAAAGATTAGAGAAATACTTAAAGTTAGATAAGTTAGTAAATGTCAATTTAGATGACCCATCAAACTTTCTCAACACTTTAATTATCAAAGTTCATGAGTTAATAATTTAAATTGCCTTTAGGTAATCCTAACACTATTTCTAATGCTGAGACAAAGAGTTTAATCAATATAACTAATTTATATGTAATATTGTAAACGTGTTAGAAATTTATCCCTAACCTAATATATGCATCAAAGAAATTAAACCTTTAAGTATACATTCAAATCACTTAGCAATGACTACTTTAAGCATGTTCTGTACATTTCATATAACAAAATTTGGACATAATCATCACTTATTCCCAAAATTAGTTTTCCCTCAAACATGAACATATTCTAGTATAATGATATTTAGAATAATTTCCTTTTCACTGACAAACAAGAGTGTCTTTTAGTTATGACAAACTTGCACAAATAGGTTTGATACGATCTTTACTTTAACTTTCATGCATCTGAAATATGCACCAACAAATTCCTTCATCTGGTAAGAAACTTCAATTATCAGTGAGTCGTCTGAAGAATTAAGTACATCATTCTTGGTAGCGTCAAAACATTCAGTCACTATATATCAAGGTGTAAGTGCATGCGCCTGTTATAAATGTCAGCATCTATGTTGACCATTTATCATAAAATAGAATAAAATAAGAGAGTAGTTTAATTATAACCCTATTCTTGTAAGCAGAAAAGTGAAACACTGAATCTAAAGGTGGCAGTTCAAATCTACAATTGGTTGTGTATTTGGACACACACACACACATATATACATACATACATACATACATCAATGTCACTTGGAATATGGTAACCACAACTAATACCATCCATCAGTTGCCTGTTTGTTTTTGGCTTGTTGGATAAGAAGTTAATAGTGGGTATCAGACTTATGGTAAATTTACCTTTAGGATGCAATCCAGCTGATATCTCATGGAATTCTCTTTGTTTGTACTATCTGTAGTCTGAAAGTTCAAAGAGCTTAGCTATTAACAAAAATGAAACCAAGCAAGGGAAAAAAAAAAAAAAAAAAAATTTAACCTTTTCTTGCACACTGTCAATCAGCCAGGTGCCTGACAATGAGGCATGCTGAAGAGATTGGTACAGATAATTAAGACCACTAAAAGGAGAAATATGACAATGAAGATGATTGTTGAAAGATATAGCATCTCCCCCACCAATAATCATACTAGTCACTTCTGTTTATAATACTACAAAAATCAACTTACAAATAGGAAGCCAACAAAAAGGGTTTACTATTAGTTTACTCCCAGAGGATACAATTTTTTTTTTATTAATGAAACTAATGAAACATATTCTAAAGTATATAATGCATAAAATGACTAAAACTATCACAATACTTCATCCCTAAAAACTGAAGAGTGATACTGAAAACTTCTGAGTCTTGATTTGAAAAATGTCAAAGTGTACTTAAATTTTAAGTAATGAGTTTTTGCAAATATTATGGCTTAATCAGAGTACAAATTTGAAAGAGTAATGACCCAAATCAGTTTCAGGCTTTTCATCTATAGGGTTTTTGAAACAAAATTTTACATGGTTAAATGTATAAAATTATTTCTTTTTACTAACAATATTTCTCCATTAACAAAAAAATAAGACTTATAATTGTTCAGAAAAAAAGATTTCATAAGATAACCAAGGATATTTGTACATCAGTAATTAATAGGGTTTTAATGAAAGTATAATAGACAAAGAGGAGAACTTGTTTGCAACACCACACTGAGAAGTTACTAAAAAAAGCAGTTATACTTTAGGTTATACTATTTCAATATTAGAGAATAGAATATTTCAAAGTCTTAAGCTGCAAAAGAGGATATAGTGATACCTAAGCTTAATTTGTTTTGAGTTATTTTCAAAGATATTTCGATTTTTCTTAAATATTATATGGAAAATAAAACTCGCCTTGTTTTACTTTAGTTTACGTCAGCTGTTAAAAATACTAGAAATGTCAAAACACTAAAATAACAAACACATAAAATCATATTTAAATAAATTTAAAAAATGTATATATATATATATATATATATATATATATATATTGTAAAATCATCAAAAACAAAAAAATTAGCATAAAGTATGTTCAGCAGATATCTTTATTTCAAATTCCTGCCATCAGGTGCCACTTGTGCATTGTTTCCTGCTCCTACACCCATTTTGAATTTAGACTTGTTTAGATCTGTGCTCTGTTGTTGACGTTCTTTCAATTACATTTCAATTATGATTTAGAATACATTTTTGTCCATGGTCTGAAGAAAAGTCCCAGTGCAAGTGATAATGCTAAGGGTGATTTATATATATATATATATATATATATATATATATATATACACACACATACATACATACATACATACATACCTGTACTTATTTACAGAATTCAAAATTTAAATATTAAGTGACATGCAAGCTAAGACAGCTGATTTACTTTTATTGAAAACTGAATAAGAGAAAAAAAATAATGATAACTTATGCAATTTTGGGAAGTGCTATTGTATACTTTTTCACACTACTGAACTCATTTTGTTACTATCATATTTTAGCTGATCCGTTCTTCAGACATACAATTTGTAAAGAAAGTTTTTTTTTTAAAAGTAATAGGAAACAGAAAAAGAATGATGGCAAAAATTCTGACTGAGTTAGTCTATTCTATTCTCATCTACCCAGATAGCACAAATGATTCCATAGTTTTATATAAAGAAATTGTTTAATTCCTTTGATTCAAAGCAACAAAATCAACAATGGCCAGATCTATAGATTTGTCAGTGAAGCTAATGTATGCCAGTTCTATTTTAGTTTCAGTGATGCTTGCTATTATAGGAATTTCATCCCAAAGAAGGCTATATGCTCTTTTTATCCTCCAGATAGGGACTTTTCTACTTCACTTTTATGTTCCTCAAGTTTCTCTTTCATATTTATTTCCACATTTGTATAAGATGTTGCCTATACAAATTTTTGTCACCAACATTACCTATGAGGGACTAACTTTAGTAAGGAAGCTGCAAGGAGTGATATACTACTTAAAAAACAAACCTTTTTATTCATTCAGTCACTCTTAATTTTGGGCAATGGTCCTCAGCAGTGAGTTGGGGGAGAGAGTTATGGCACATAAGCTTTACTCTTCAAAGTAGTAGTTTTCAATCCAACTTAACTTCTAAGATGGAGAAAAGGAAAACTAATTTAAGAGATACCAACTATATCACTACAGTAAGCATACTATATGTAAGAGGAAAAGTTGAATGAATCCAAAAGACATTAAGGTAACTACTCTTTGCAATTTTCTTACTGTAGTTTTTTTTAATATTTTGCAGCATCATTTTTTGTTTGCCATCATTTCCCAAAAAAACAATCAATCACTTTTCTTATAGACTGTAAGTGAAAAATAAATTTTTGACTTTGTTACACCTATTAACAGAAAACTTTAAGCAATGAGTTTATGAAACTTATTCTTCAGTTTAAAAACCTTAAATTTTTAAAAAGATAAAAAGAAGAACAGTATTATGATATAAAGTTTTCTGAATTTACAATGCGAATTTTAAAAATTGTTAAATGATAAAATTTTTCTTCTTAATTAAGAGTAATCTTTATTGCTTAGATAATGTAACAGTTGTATAACCATTGCTTTAGACTACATGCATCACACAAACAATAGCATCCATCCAAGTTGATATAAATTAATGAAAGGAGGAGAAAAATCTTTGCATCATGTAGCATCAAGAAGGGCATCTATATGTAACATTTACACTCCATAAAATCCATGATTATAAAGATGAGCAAATCAGATAACCTTTATTAAAATAGAAAAAAATTCTTTAAAAAGGTAAAGTTCAAGATTATAATCTGGAAGAATGAAAATCTAATAAAACAAGTATCATTGTTAAATCTAAACTAGTTCTCTGTACATTTCATCATTTTTAAAGCCATAATCATATCTGAATATTTCAAGTTTTCACTCTCTCTCTCTCTCTTCCAACTGCTTATCAGCAAGATCTCCAAAGCCAACATAGCATATTTAATTTGAAAAATTCTAATTTAGGTGACAATTTTTTCAACTATAATGGACCAATTCAAAAAGTGCCTTTCAGAGGACTTTTTTTGTAGACAAAATATTGTCTATCTAATCTATAGAGTTGTGATATACAAGTTTAAAAGGCAAGTAGGTACTATATAAAAATTCTTTAATGAAAGTATGGAAATTTAATTGTTTAATTAATGTAGTCTATGTTAATATCTTGAAATGCAATTAGCATATTTAAATTATGTTAATTAGGATTTTGATAAAATATAAACTATTTTCATTGAAGTCCCTATTGCACTAGTTTTCTCATTTCCTTATTTTTCAGTCTGCATAGTTCTTGCTTTCTGCAAAAATAGATTTGAATGAAGATATGTTTTTGTATACAACAGTTCAGTACTCTTGTTTCTAATGAAATTTTCCTTTTTCTTAAGACTTTGCTTAGCTTTTAAAGGCATCTTTCACTATTCCAATGCACCTTCAGATTTCAGTGTCTTCCTCTGTTAAAACATTTCCTAGATATTTAGATTTTCATAATTGCTTGACTTTGGGGTCTTCAATTCAAAGTTCACATCTTGAGCCATTTCTTTTGCTAACAATTAAACATTGTCTTCTTATAATTGATGTTTAGTCCTTCTCACTTTCCTTTTTTAACTTCTGAACAAATTCCTGCAATTTCCTTTCTGTTACTAAAACTGTGTCATCTGAATATCTCATTAAGATTTCTACTGTTAGTTCTCTCAGGACCACTTCAATGTAAAGGTTGAATATGTCTGGATAGAAAACTTTTTCTTTCTATTTTTGTATATTAACTGAATTCATTTTTCTATCCACATATGCAGGCAATTTTATTCCCAGTATAATTTCTTGGTAATTCTGATATCATTCCCAAATAAATGAAGATTAACTAACAGTTCAAACAGTTCTTTGTGTTATACCTTATCAAACATTTTTGCATGGTCTACAAAATATCAAAGACAAAACTCTATATTCAAGTTCCAAACCAAGTATATTGATTTGTACTATTTATTTTTTAAAATCTTACCCATTGACACAAAGCATTTCTATGAGGTTTATATATTGTTGATAGTAAGAGAACTCATCACTAAGTATATTATATCCCATACATTTACAACATGGGATTTTTAGTATAGGAATAATGTAACAATGGTCACATTGCTCTACAGTAGAATGATGTCAAACAAGAGGATTTGTTACCAGTAAAATGAAAAGGTTAAACAATATTATCTAATCAATGACCAGTGTAATCAGGAATATGTTTTTGAGTTAATCAGATAAAAAATTTAAATATGTTCTAATAAGAATGAAATTTTAATAAGCGAAGAGGAATACCTTAACAAGATTTGCATCTTGGAGCGTAAGTTTAACATTTAAAGGCAACAATCCTCTCTCTCTAATCCATTTACTGTTTAGAACTTCAGCTGCAGTTAGTCGCCTGTGTGGATCTACATGCAACATTTTCTGGACTAAATCCTGAAAAAAATAAAAATAAAAAAATAATCAAATTAAAAATGTTTAAGACTTAAAATTTATTGAAAATTCAACTATCCGACATAAAATGACAACTTAGCAACAAATCTGGCACATAATACATATTCTTGAACAATAGTCTCATACACACACACACACACACACACAGTGCAGAGTTTAAGCCAATTAATGGTATAGCAGAGCTTAGAATGAGGAATTATTCTCTAACCCATAAAGAAACATACAAATAAGAATAAGTTAAAAATAATTGTTTTCTTTATATAGAAAAAAATGAAAAAAGGGGCCAAGTAAGAAAAATACGAGATAACCAAAAACCCCAGGTGTTCTTTTGATGAACATGTTAACTGTTGAGGTGGATGACTAGTGAGGTATAAATCTATGGGAAATATTTTCTGGGTCAAAATTTCTGGACTTGTGTTCATGTGTAAACATAAGGTTTCAATGACATAATGAGAGAAAGGACTTTCGCTTATTATCATCTAACTTTAGCCAGTAAAATGAACTAGTGGGAGATAATGGAAAAGGAAATTGCCCTTTTTGGACCATGTGATTAAGTGCATCAATTAGATTGAATTGAGTGTGGAGTTAATTCTGAAAATGTCTATATTCAGATGCACATTAATTGTAAAGACAGTTTGCAGAGTTGCATTCAGTTGCTATGAAGAAATATCCAGAACTTGTATAAGTGAGATCCTGAAGTTTGATGCTGATAGAAATCAGCTAAAGTCCAGACCAGTAATACAAACTATTAGCTTGTTTATTCCAAGAATCAGCCATAAAAATCTCCAATCACTTTTTCCACTTTAAGATTTGCAGCACCAACAAGCTTGCATTAGTTATAAAAACAATTAACATGATTTTAATAGCATACGAATTGAGTTGATCATTTTGGTGAAATTAAAACTAAGTGATACCAACTCAGACTCATTCTGTAAGCTGCCAGTTGCTGTGGGGACCTGTTCAGACCAGGGAGGTTTCAACCAAGATGACAGGTTACTACTTCATACTTAAATAATCAGTGTGGAGTGCCCACAGTCTAATTGGTGCAGTGATTAGGATAGACCCAAAGAGTACCATAGAGTGATACCATCCCAAAATTTCATCCTGTGATTCTGTGAGTTGCCAGTTACTATGAGAACTGTTTTGACTAGAATGTAAATAATCACAATTTGGACCACAATTTAAATTAGTAGTTGTGATACAGGGCGACTGAAAAGAGTTTCATAAATATAAATCAGCGTTTCTCATAGCTCCAGGTCTCATTTTCTCCTTGCAATCGTAAGTTTCCTTAATTTTTGTCCCATTTAGAATTATCTTTTTTGTTTGAAAAAGGGTCTTTCATTTAAAAAAACAAAAGAAAACACTTATAATCTTATCCCAGATACAAGAAATATTTTTTTTATAAAAATGTGTATCAAGTCCTATAGTCAGTTGTTGGAACACTTAAGTAGATTACTTGAAAATAGAATCAACTCACTAGCAGGAAAGGTGTTTTTGTTCTATGTAAAAAATTCTATTCACTTTTTAGAGGCATGTAAAGATGCTCCCATTCATTACCACTGGATAGAGAATTTGGACATCATGAGTGTTCACTAAGGTTCCTACAAATGAGGCTCTACACAGGTTCTGAATATATAGCAATCAGACCTTTTGTACCATTATTCTGATGGATAACCTTAGAGATGTTGACAGTATGTGTGCAGACATATTTTCAATTAAATTCTGATATAATTTGGCAGGAAGAAAGCTTGGCTATGGGTTTGCCATTTTAAAGTCAACTATGAGTTTAAGATACATAGAAGACACCAGGAAGACATGCAGTTATAGCTATATCATGTGAACTTGATAGGACCTTGAATACAGTTCACAATAGACTATAAAATGATAAAGATAAACTAAACTGGATGTGCTAATAATAGAACATTACATTCACTGAACAATACTGTAATTTAAATTCCACCAAACTTACAGTATGACAAAAAGGATTGCCTACAACCTACAACATTTAAAAATTTGACTTTCTTATAAATGGTGACCTAGTCACATACCAATAAGAGATGATCATCATTAGGAACACCCTTCAGAGTAATAATTACACTGTAAGAATAACATCAACTTCCATAAATAAAGATATAAACATGAAGAACATAAGTTGGAAAGCTATCAGTTTTATATCAAAGGCATATCAGGAAAGATCTGTTGTCCATGTAATATCAGGATAATATTAAAGCGCAATTTCAATCCTCAGGAGATATCTCCTTCACACTAAGCTTCCCTCCAGAAGACCAAGAATTGCATATATTCATTCCAAGCAGTTGTGACAATACAAAGTTGAGATAAGCTACCTACTCAGAAGTAAAGCTTAAGGAATATCAGAAAGCAACAATACAGAAGTGAAATAATGAAATTAAGCATGGCTGATCATGTGTGGATGGATAATGAAATTAAGCATGGCTGATCATGTGTGGATGGATAATGAAATTAAGCATGGCTGATCATGTGTGGATGGATAATGAAATTAAGCATGGCTGATCATGTGTGGATGGATAATGAAATTAAGCATGGCTGATCATGTGTGGATGGATAATGAAATTAAGCATGGCTGATCATGTGTGGATGGATAATGAAATTAAGCATGGCTGATCATGTGTGGATGGATAATGAAATTAAGCATGGCTGATCATGTGTGGATGGATAATGAAATTAAGCATGGCTGATCATGTGTGGATGGATAATGAAATTAAGCATGGCTGATCATGTGTGGATGGATAATGAAATTAAGCATGGCTGATCATGTGTGGATGGAAAAGGAAAATCAGTAAACCCTGTGGAATAAAGTCAGAATAACAAATAAACAACTGGAAGAGTCCGTACATATGTCAGGCTCTAGTAATCACTTGAATAGGTCTAGCATGGAAATAGGAGCCATTAGAAATGAACATTAGGCCCAAGGCTCAAAAATTCCATCACCTAATTGAACTACAGTTAATGCCGAAGTCATACTTTGGTTCACTTGAATATGCAGACAAAATTAAGGCTTCAAGTTATCACCATCAAATTCTCCTACAGGACACTTGGCTTAATGGATAAAAACATTGGTAAAACTAGTTACATGTCAAGTGTGAGTTCAATCCATGTGCCAGAGAAGGAAAGAATATTATGTATCCCAGTTAAGTAGGAGAGACAAGCAATACCACACAGATAAACTATGTAAAATTAGCTTATTTGAGAGATTCCTTCAAAATGAGAACAATCTACTTTGTGCTTCAATTTGAAATCTACAGAAGTTTACCAACTACAGATGCTACAAAAGGGCTGAAAAATTGTGTCTTACAACCAAAATAAGGAGACTGAGTAAATCAGAGTACAAAGTATTATACTTTGTATCTACAAATTAACATAGATGAGTAATGATCTACAAAGGAAAGCATAGACCAGGTCTGCAAAAAAAAATGGTCTGAAGATTTTTGCAAAATGGTAATTTTCTTTCTTTTTTTTTTTTTTTTGTGATCCTAAAAACAAATTTGATGTATGATTATGTACAAAAATTTATTTTCATGGTAGCATGACTATTCAGCTGTTTGTTTTTGATTAAGACATACCACCTTTGGGATGCATTAGTGCATTTGTACCATTTTTTTTTCACTCAGTTGTAATTTACTTGTATATGCATTGTGGTATAGTGGTATCTCAGAATTAGAAATCAGAGATCTGAGTCTGAATTCTACTGGAGTTCCTTACATTCCCTTATGCATAAATATCTTAGAGAAAGGCATGAATCTAAATCTTTTCTTCTCAGCTATGAGTTGAATAGCAAGACAGACTGGGTACTATAGCCTTGGTTGGCAGCCAGTCTACAATGGCAACCTATTGTGGGAAAATATTCTGCCTAGTTAGTCATGGATTGAAAGAGACATGATTGCACAAATGTGTATCACATATGGCACTTAAGCAAGTAATTTACTCTAAAAATTTTCTCTTACAGCCTGTAGCTAATTTTTTGTGAATAATCTAGCCCTTCACATATTTTAATTGTGGAGGCCTGGCATAGACACTAAGGTCAATAGTAAAATTTTAAGACTGGAAACAAACAAAAAAAAAAGGTGGGGGAATAGAGGAGAAATTTCCTACTCCACTTAAAATGTTACAAAAAGTAAATAAAGGAGAATTTAAGTAAAAGTTAGCAACCTGCAAGTAATTTTACATACAAATCATTTGCTAAAGAACAATTCCAAAACAAGTCAAACAAAACTCACTTTTGCTGCATCTGACACACAGTCCCAATTGCCTTCTGTAAGTTTAATTTTGCCTTCTCCAATCCTTGCTAAAATGTCACTGGGTGTGTCATTCGGCCCATTGGCATAAGGAGTTTGACTGAAATACAATAAAAAAAGAAATCAAAACATGTTAGAAAACGCATACAAAATAAGTCTGAAAAGCAGCAACATTTACCCGGTCAGCTGAGTTACCTGCCCTTATATTCAGTTATTAAGCTTCTTTTATGTGCCATGTATTATCAGAAGTGCGATTATGGGTCTCCACAACTTTTTGTCCTTTGTAGCCCTTAGTAAGGTTTTTCTTTTTGCCAGTTTTCCTAATCCTTGTTCTGCCAAACAGTTACACAGTCTCATTATGCATGTTATTCACTACTTTCCTCTGTACTTCTTGCTTTTAATGTTCTGCAGGTATCAAATTCATAATTTCTTTCTTCATTATGTGCCCTAGGAATTACAATTATCTCTATTCTAAGCATAAATGTCTTTTTTGTTTCCATAAAACTTTGTTCTTATTCACATGTTCAGTCTATGGTATTTCCAGCATCTTTGGGTCTTCAATTCAAAGTTCACATCTTGAGCCATTTCTTTTGCTAACAATTAAACATTGTCTTCTTATAATTGATGTTTAGTCCTTCTCACTTTCCTTTATTAACTTCTGAACAAATTCCTGCAATTTCCTTTCTGTTACTAAAACTGTGTCATCTGAATATCTCATTAAGATTTCTGCTGTTAGTTCTCTCAGGACCACTTCAATGTAAAGGTTGAATATGTCTGGATAGAAAACTTTTTCTTTCTATTTTTGTATATTAACTGAATTCATTTTTCTATCCACATATGCAGGCAATTTTGTTCCCAGTATAATTTCTTGGTAATTCTGATATCATTCCCAAATAAATGAAGATTAACTAACAGTTCAAACAGTTCTTTGTGTTATACCTTATCAAACATTTTTGCATAATCTATAAAACATGGGTACACATCCTTCTGCTTTAGTATTGCTCTTTCTGATATTATCCCGAGTATAAATATTTAATTTCTTGTTCCACTGTCTCTAAGGAAAACTGCCCTGTTCTTGTCTTATTTCCAGTCTAATTCTGCTATGTGCTGTACTCATCAAAATTTGAATGATAGGTTTCATTAGTAAGGTTAAGAAAATTAAAAGATCTGATAAGTAAAATATTTATGATGCCACCTAAGACTACGTATGCCAAACTGTTCTAGTAGCGAAATTTCCTTCCATTTCAACTGCTGATATCTCCTTTATTCTTTAGGTTATTTTGAGAAAATTAGTACGTAAACAAAGTTGAATCTTCTCTTTCTAAAGATACTTTGAAGTTAAATTTTGTTTTTATTTGAAAGATAACAGCCTACAGCTATTTTTTATAATTTACATATTTAAATAAGATTTTTGTAAGATATTTTTAAAACAAAGTCACTCACCAATCTCCATTACTGACAACAAATAAAAATAAATTAAAAATCTTTTAATATCCTGGTATTTGACTTAAGTAAGGAATAACTAACTGGCTAAAAAAAAAAAAAAGAAAAAGAAAAAAAAAAGTGATTTTTTGCTTAAAACAGTGAAAATAACATTTATTTATGCATAGTAACCAGTGAGCTGTCATAACCACAGTAGCCTTCTAATGTGGACACTTGAAAATTGTATTAAAATTTACATTTTTCAATTCATAAAACATATCTTCATTTAATAGAAAAATCTCTTATTGGAGGAACTTCAAAATTGCAATAAAAAATTACAAGTACATTTTATAAAAACAGATATTCAATGTAGATTTTTTTTTTTTTTTTATGTCAAATGTGAAAGAAAATATTTTAAATTATGCAAGTAACAAAAATAGTTTTGAAATTTTAATTTTTTTTTTTGGTAAGGTTCATAAACTTTCAGTATGCTCATGGCTGAATTTGAATATATTTTTTTTTTTTTTTTTTTTAACTCAAATAACATCTTCATGGATTTTACTTTTATGTAAGTGTAAAAACTTTTCAAATACCCTCAAAATTTAAATGTGTTAATGATATTTGAAAGTTGGGGTGGAACTGGCAAAAAAAAAAAAAAAAAAAATACATCACTTCACTATTCACCGACCTCAAACATGCTAAAGTGCAGCTAGACTAGACCTGGGCTGGAAGCTAAACAGACAACTGAGTGGCAATCAGCTCTCAGTATTTTAAGAAATCATGTGAAACATCTGCGACAAAGACACAAGCAATAAGTATTTCTGAAACTTCATATCCAGGAAAGGATTACTAAAAAGGCAAGAGAACGAAAAAGTGTTAAGCTGCTGATGAGAAACAGAGAATTGTTAACTCATCAAGTATGGTGGTCCTGTGAAGTCTATTAAGGATGTACAACAAGCAGTGGTTTGGAAACACTGAAAGATCAACTTAGATATCAAGATCAACACCAATGGAAATAAATTTCAGCTGGAAACTGCTCTTTGCAAATATTTAACAGGAAAATCAGTTGATTCATCTCCATCTCTAAGAAAAAGGAAAGAAGAAAAGCACTGTGATTTCAAGTATTTAAACAATTCTAGCAGTTGTGATGAAAAATAACCACCTTGTGACCTTCAGTTACAACTGCTAAGGTTGCAGTATATTAGGACTCCAACTTTTACATTAATATTGCATCTCCATTCAGTTTTTAGCTTCAACGAAGGTCATTAGAAATAATCATTTCACATAGTGCACATGTGGAATCAACATTTTTCTTAAAGCTTTGATATAATGCCAGTTTCAAGTGATTGCTGGATATGGAGTGTTCCAGAAATATTAGCCATATCAGAGGCTTATAAAGAAATTCAGTCGGCAAATCACCATTAGGAGAGGTAGTGCAGGAGGACCATTCACGATGTCCAGAAAGTCTTTTCTATCAGTTTCAAGCACTATTATAAAGTGTTTTCCTTGCAAAAAAGAGTGCCCAGTGAAATACGAATATCCACTAAAAATAACATTTAAAGAGATAGAAATACTTATATTACAAAAAATTACAGTGAAAAGTTTCAGGAATATACCCTCTAATAGATACTTTTTGTGGCAAGTCCAATATAGTATATTTTGGACTGGTTCATGCTCTACTGCCAAAGTTACTTTGAGGCACAACTGAAACAGCTCTATTTGTTTTGCTATGAAATATAGGGAGATGTTGCAAGGCATTAACTGTTGAAATCACTTATATAATCAGTCACTTTTGACCTTTCATGTCATATTTTTATGATTTTGTTTTTGAGAAAATTTTCCCAATGTTTATTCTGGACTGATCTAAAAATTAGTGATTCCATTAGCATTTTTTTTTTTTTACTTGAAGACTACCTATATGACATTATATTTATAATGATTTTTAACTTGTTTGAAGTCTGCATCTTCAGTTATACATTGTTAATTTGGCATTTTTGCACAATAGCACATGAGAAAGTTTTCATGAAGAATGAAATATGGTCATAACATGTTTGTTAGTTGTACTATAGAGATAAATTTGGTACAATTTGTTATGGTCTGTCAAGATTTCTATGGCTGTATTAATGGTTTTTAGATATACTGAAAATAAAATTTTAGTCTGGGATACCTACTAAGGCTGGTAAAAATAAAAGCCATAATTTTTTTAGCTACTGAAAAAGAAAACAAAAAAAACTTTCTAATACAACCTATACATGAATAATGCATCAAAGATACTTTTACAACATCTACAACTCTTAGCAAATTTAGCCTTAAAGTTTTACTCTCTTAAAAAGGAATGAAATTTAATATGACTACTAATGGAAATGTGGGAAATGGATATTTATGATTTAAGTGTTACAGAAATATATAGCCATACACAAAGTCAATATTGTAAATTGGAGCTTGGATAAAAGGACACAAACATAAGGATAACAATTTCTAGGAATACTTTACTGTTACAAGAACAATGAATTGTAAAGGTAAGAAAAATATGTATTAGAAAATTTAAATCCAAATTAAAGAAAAACTTACCCTGCTAACATTGTGTATAACAATACCCCCATGCTCCAAATATCACAGGCAGCATCATAACCTTGACGTTTCAAAACCTGTATATAGAAAACAAAAAAAATTAAAAAATTATCAATCACACTAATGTTAAAATAAAAAGGTCTCTTGCATATATGATACATACAAATACATAAAACATTAAATGTGTGCTCAACCATTATAGTTAGACATTATCAATATTGGCCAAAATTCAACACCAGTTAGTTTTCCAACATCCCCAAAAAATGAGGGTGTATTCCAGAACTATAAAAGAGTAGTAGTATTTGTCTGCAAAGTTTGGGTTCCTGAAATCTATTAGGCAATTTGATATATATATATATATATATATATATATATATATATATATATATATATATATATATATATATATATTCATAAGTTTTTATGCACTAGTAAAAATATACTCGAGACTCTGTATGTAGAAACATTAAACCTCTTTCATTTTGCTTACAAAGTCTGTTTCTATCTCCTAACAGATCTACACCTTTGGAAATTCTTGCATCTTCTGCAACCATGTTAAAAATAACTTTAAATGTCGCTACAATATAATATCAAGCAAGCAACTATAAACTCATACATTCTAAAGAACTGACAAGAGTTAAGGAACTAACACCCAAGCAACAAATTTTACAAAATTATACCCATTCTAGGAGAATGGAATCATGGTCTCAGAAGCTAAAAAGTTGTCTTATCAAGAATCACCTATATCTCACTCATTTCTCAAAAAAAAATCAAAAAAAAATCAACATCCTCCAGAATGCACAGTATATCAGGATGCATATACGATAAAACATATTTTAATGGATTGTAATGACCCTGCTGCGCTGCTATACATCAAAATTTTTATGACATGATTACTCTTGATATTTTCAGCATACTTGAAGGCAGTTGGTCTATACCACAAATTATAGCACTAAATAAATCTATTCTAAAAGGTTTAACAGGAGAGTGATGGAACCAGTAACTCAAAGGATTGATTACAAGCCATATATTTAATAGAATAAAATATTTTTGGTATTAAATAACCAACAGAGATAATATGACATTAAAACAGAACAATCAATCAAAGCACTATTTTTTATATTGCCATTATCTTTAAATATTGACTGAAATATTACACTTCAGTAGTTATTTATCAATTTACTGGAAGTAGTAACAGCATTATTTCATCAGTGTATAATGAAATTAATAAAAATGTACAAAAGTTAAGAAAGCCAAACCTCAGGAGCAACAAAATTGGCAGTGTAGCAGGGAGTCATCAGGAGGCCATTATCTGCTCGTAATTGTTTTGCAAAACCAAAGTCACAAATTCGTAAAGCCTGAGGAGAACCAGAGTCATCTGCATATAATATATTGGAAGGTTTCAAATCACGATGAACCACCTGTAAGAAAAAAAAAAAAAAAAAAAAAAAAAAAAGAGGAAAAGAAAATAAAGCTACCAAAAAGAAATAAAAATAAAAATTTGGGAATACCTTCAACAGCAAAATAATTTTTAGAATACAGAAGTGTATATTCAAATCTGAGCAGAACTTCCCATAAAATAATTAATTAAAAGAGGGCTTTTCACTCCAATAAGAGATCATAGATTTGAACTAAGTATTTTTAGAATCATAGCAAACCTTCATGAATAAAGTCATATTTCATTTAAATAATTGGGTTGAGGGTGATTTTACAAAATATTTAAAACTACTTTTTTTTTATAACATGCTTATAGACTTATGGCAACAACAAGCATAATACCAAATTGGTTATGTCCTTCAGGTGGCCATTACTCACATTATAAATGTAAACTTTTTTTAAGGTCCCAACTTTCCAGTGACCAGAGGAAAAAAAAAACAATATGGAGAAGGAGAGAAATGGTTATAACTGGTTTCTGGCAAGGAAATTTTCAGTGAGATGATTTCTCTATATGTTTAAAGCAAAATGACTAACAAAATGCAAGAGTTCAGTTTAGCATTATACTTACATTATAACTCATCACTAAGAATTTTTCAAATATAATATACTAAAAATATGCCTCAGTGTTCCATTAGCAACTATCAAAGAGTAGCCATAGCTGTAGCTTTGAATAATGCAATTATATGCAAAAATAAGACATTTGGTGAATGAGATTTTAAATAAAGTTCAGTAACTGAACAATTTAAAAAAAAAAAAAAAAAAAAATGTGAAAGAGATGCATCTGTTCCTGCTAAAGAAGTCAGTGATCCAGAAATAATTACAATTAAAAATAAGGGAGGGGAGGCATTTGAAATATTGTCAAAACATTTGTTTGAAGCAGAAAATATTTAAACAGTTTTAAATGAAAGCAGTAAATAAAGAAAAGATTAAATGCATATTTAAGCATCACAAATTTTGAGTTTTACTACAAATAGTATTTTTTTTATACAAGTAAATATTATGAGTAGAAAATTGTGATGAACTAACAATCTCTTACAAGGAATGGTTCTCCAAGACCAACATGACGCACTTTCACTCAGTGTCTTCTGTTTGATTTCTATTCCATCAAAGTATCCCAACAACTGTCAGGCTTATAATCAACCAACATACAATCCATGGATGTTTGTAGCTTTCAACCAAACATACATTCTCCTGGACATCATCCATTTGGAACCTTGAGATTTGGCACAGTTTAGTACAACAGCAGAAAGTATTGTTTGGTCTGGATGAATGACCAGATATGTAATTTCTTCAATCAGCCTGACAAGTTGATGTGAATCTGGTCCCACAGATGGCATACTTGAACTCATATCTGAGAGCATGGGAACAGTTTGTGTAATGTCTGCCGTACTTTTCCAGGTTAGTGGCTATGAAAAACCAGTAGGCATAACTTTTGTCCATTGATGACTGCACCATCCTAACAGAAGTAATTTACTATGCATCAATAAAATTAAAAAGGTAACTGAACACTGTCACCAAGAAGATGATGGTGCAAAGTTGGAAGGAAAAGTCATGCAGTATTCTGACAGTTGTCTTCTTGTTTCAAACAAGTTGCAAATAGTAGGTGTTGTCTTCATCTACCCACAGATTAATTTCTCGTACAGAAGCAATTAGATTGAAATTCCAGAGAAATCCATTTTTTTTTTTTACAAAATTAAAACTACTTCAACATTCCATTAAAATGAACAAAAAAAAAAAAAAAAAAAAAAAAAAACTAACTCACCCCATTTGAATGTAGATATTGCACAGTCTCTGAAATAATCTGTAATACAGCACTTGCTTCTCGCTCAGAAAAAAAACGTTGTCTAAGGATCTTATCCAGCAGTTCTCCACCTTGCATCAATTCTGTCACCATGTATACTTTATTCCCATTTACAAACACCTATTAAAAATGTGTTTGAAAGTAAAATTCCATAAATACCAAATTAAATATTAAGTACAAAACAATGCTTATTATAAATATTGCATAAAAGCAAGCTGGAGATATTAGATATTCCCTCAAATGCATTAAGAAAGATTGAGAAATTCAATACACACTTGAAATTAAAAAAAAATAAAAAAAAATAAAAAAATTAAATTTTACTTGTTTTGGTGGTTTTCTTCAAATAATTGTTCATCATTATAAAAGCACAAATTATTCTAAGAATGAGTATAATTAAAAATTTCCTATATTTTATGCAACAGTTTCTAAAGAAAAAGTTATCAACTGAACGATCATTACAAAATCTACTACTTACTGCACCAATAAAAAAAAAATTACCTTTTGATAAATCATGTATACAAACATGAATCATACATAGATAAAAAGGTGTTGGAACAAGAATTTTTGTGAACATAGAATACAGCCATTGATGTTGAAAATACCAGCTTTGTGCTAAATAAGACTTCATCTAATCAGCATTTAAAACTGAAAGAACTTGTTAGATAACACTACACATTCACAAAAATTGCCATTTTAAGGGAAATTAAAATAATTTAAAATTTCAAAAGATGAAAAAAATTTTTAATTTATATAAGTTTTGAATTAATTTTTTCTGCAGTGACATCAAATGTCAACTGGCAATTTTATATAAAAATTAAATTTCTAGTGTCCAATGATAGCTGGAAATATACAGTATTGAACAATATCTTTATTTGCAATGACAAACAAAATGCTTTTGCCTACTTAGTCAGATAGGGAGAGAAGAGTAGAAAGAAAAGATAGAAAGGAAAAATAGATGCTATTTAATATTGTATAATAACTTTCAAAACTGTAGGCATCATGTTACTCAGTTCAAAATGGAAGAGCACAAAAACAATTCTTACATCTCTGAGAGTAATTATATTTGGGTGATGACCAAACCGAAGAAGAATTTCAATCTCCTCTTGTGGGTCTCGTTGCTCCCGGTCCATAATCTAAAAATTGAAGAAGAATTATGTTTTTTATATATATATATATATATATATATATGCGCACACACACACACACGCGCACACACACACACACACACACACACACACACACACACACACACACACACAAGAGAGAGAGAGAGAAAACCCCAAATTAGTCTTAAATAGTCTATAAAAAAAACAGACTATTATGGTTCCCACATTAATCTATAGAGATAAAGAATTACTTCTACATTCTTTCTATTAATTTAAATATTTTTTCCCCTTGTTATTTTTATTTTTTGCTAAAGTTTACGCATCATGAGCAGGACTAATAAGTTGTATCAAAAAATAATACAAATTAGTTAAAATCTAACTTATTTAGCATTTTAATAAATCTCCCACTTACCCCCACAGTGGGTCCAAAAAGGACACAGGCTAAATTAAGTGGCCATAATGGTTATATTGATAACCCAGTGCAAGTTAAATATTGTCTTTCAGTAATTTTTCAATTTTTTTTCAATATGTGCAACAATTCAAAAGTTATAATTTGTTGCATATTGCCAATTTTTAATATTTTGTGAGCCTGCTTGTCAGTTTCCCCTATGCTTGAAATTTTTGAGTAAATATTACCCATTACAATGATGAAAAATGTGTTAATTCCTTGAAATAGTCAAATAGAAGCATATTAAACCCACACTAATATAGTTCTTTTGATTATGTTGTTGTAATTAAACTGGTATTAGTTAAAGTTAAAAAAAAAAGTATATACTATGTTATTCTCCTTAAGTTATTTATTGAGGAGAAAAAAAAAAATATCGCCTGTCCAGCCAAATCTCCATATGTTTGTACTTCTATGTTTCAACTGATTTCTCTGGCAGTCTTGAATTGCCTATACTTAATTTGGAATTTTGAAATCATCTAAGATTGAAAAATCTGAAAATATTGGATTCATACACAGTAACAAATGTTCTCAAACATAGCTGCTTTCTTATTTTTATTCTAACAGTGTAAAATTTGAGATTTCAGGCCCAAATCCAAAAAGACTACTTTCTTTCAGACCCCCATAAAAACTGCAATTTTTTTTAAAGTTTGAGGTTAGGTAGATTTACTTGCTATTTGGCTTCTAACAATCCCCCCAACAATTACTATATGTGGAGAGAGAGAGAGAGAGAGAGAGCAAATACTTTTGTATCCACTGTGCCCCCGCATAGTATTCAGTGAGAATAGTTAAAAAATTACATTGAAATTGTCGAGAAGTATCCAATATATTTAGTTGTTTTTTGTTTTTTTTAAATGCAATAAATGATAAGGTTTGTTCATGCAAAGCATTCAGGTTAAAGTTCACAATAATCTGATCAGCAATTTTGTTAGGAAGTCATTTTAAGAGAGAAATACAAGTCATCATCATTCTAAATATTATAGAACTATGAAGAGAATTAAAAAAGAAAGACTGGAGAGCCATATACAAAAGTGACCAACCTTCACAGCATAATCTTGACCAGTTGTTTTGTGGACACACCATTTACATACTGAATAGGATCCTATTCCTATATCCTGCAGGGGGAAAAAAAAAGTTTAAGAGAATAAAGAAATCCTGGGTTGGTGATCTCTACAAAATAATATTCTGATTAATATCTCTGTGATTTATAAAGTTTTTGCCATTTACAAATACATGAAAATATTATTTTTATTTGCTTGTAATCATTATTTTTATGCATATTAAAGATTATTTGAAGCTACAGTGAATCATTCCACCAGGTAAAATTAAGAATCATGAATAATTCCTGAAATGATCCCTCAGTTACTGAATTAAATATTGATATTTTTTTTTTATTAATACAAATGTTAATATATTTAAGTAGCAGACACTATCAAAAACTATAAGCATGAAAATTCAATATTAACCAAAATTAAATATATTTACAGGGTTCCCACGGATCTGTGTAAAAAATATTCCAGGACAATATTAAAAAATTTCAAGGATTGAAACTGGAGCACACACATCAGTTTCAAAAACACAAACTTTGTGATTTATCTTTCAATAGTTTGACATGAGCGGTTAAAAAATCTACAGTTGGTTCCAATAATTAATGTCACATGGATCAGTTGAAAGCAGTGAAGAACTCGAACTGTTGAAGGCTAAAACACAACAGACTGCAGATCTGGTTATGTTGCATACCAGAATTCTACAGTTTGGAGTTCTACTACACTTGAAAATTTTGAATTACACACTTTAATTCTTACTGCTACACATTTCAATTATCTAGATTACTCATTATTTGTGAATGTCACAAAAATTCTTGACTGCTGTACACTTCCAGTGAAGTATAATGGTTTTAATGAACTTCAAATAGAAATGTTCACAAAAAAGACTACACATTTTACCTACCCCTACTACTTGTGGCTTTTATTGCATATGGCACAGAACAATGTTAGCATTTTTTCAGTTCATCTAGTTTAGCATTCAGCTCCTCTTTCAATTTTGATATCTCTACGCATTTGGCCTTTGCAGATTTTTGTATGGCATTGCAATAAGTGCAAAGTTCTGAGTCTGCTCAGCATTCTCTGCATAGCTGTCAACTGACTTGAGCAAATCGTGCAGCTTTCAAGTTTGTATTTTTTGGTCTTCAGTTCAATTTCCATAAGCATAGATTTCTGTTTTTGTCCAGCTGCTTCTTCCTGCCTTTTTCTCTTCTCAGCCTCAAGGTATTGGTTGTATGCTGTTCTGGCATTGGAAGCACTGTAGAGAAGAGCCTTAGTCATGGGAACATTCCCAGCACTTCTAACTGGCCAAATAGTTTGTGATAATGCACTGTGCAACTAGAGTCTGCTGTTTCATATTGTCAGTGGAAATTTCCTTGACTGAGAAACTTCTCTCCACTGATGACTGTCCATGAGAGAGTACCAGCAATCAGCAAACAACTTCCCACAGTTTTTGATATTCTTTGTTGCTAGAATAAAGTGTCCAGACAGTCTTCATGCTTGCTGAAATTCTTGAAAGCAATATTTCAAGCAGCCTCCTCCTCCTCCTCAAACTCTTTCTACTAACTGATGATGTCATCACAATCAGACTTGCTGACTTGTTTTCTGTCCATCATGTGGTAAAGACATCTTTTTAGACTGTCTTCTGTGACAATTTTTTTTACATATGGATTCAGTGTTTAGCCATGCAAGTGACCTTACAACAGGAGACTTTGCCAGAAGTTTCTCAATGAATTTAATTAAGTTCATAAATTTGATGACATTTAGCCAAATGTCTAAGAGTCAGTCACATGTTTGTACATTTTCTAGCCATCCATGGCAGAAATACAAAAGTAAAGAGACAAGGTTGTCAGAATGAACTTGTAATAAAAGCCAAATAAGTTTTAATATAGTTCATCATTTTTTCACTTAAAACAAAAGCTAGAGATACAGGTCATTATTAGTCTGCAAATTTTAAAAATAACATTCTTATTTTTTCAAAGACGCATTTTCTATACTATCCTAATATACATTCCATTCTCTCATTCTTTTCATCTATATTTTCTTCGAGTTAAATTTACATTTTACGTTTGGCAACAATTTAGACAAACATAGTTTACACATAGATACACATCAACATGAGATGCATAAAGTATCTATTTTTTCACACATGAACTCACCTAGTGCTGACTAGAGATCAAAAGGAATTTTTACTTTTGAAATTGACATGTGAATAAAATTTCTTAAATTGTTCAAATTTTAAAAAACACTGATAAATTTGAGATTCTACTAAAATGTATTTTATTACTGCAAAATAATTTATTTTCCTTTCAACTACAAGTCAATAAGCGTGTACTGTGAATTAATTTATCTTTGACGAAGATGTTTACTTGTCTCCGACACCTTTTATCTTTGCTTTTCCTCTTTTCTTGTTGAGTGAGGGTAGCAGCTCGGAGAAGACACACCTTAATATTTTTTCTCCCTTTCTTTCTCATCACCTAGATGAGAAAATACAGAAGAGTAACTACGAGATTATGAACTCGTTCTAATCAAGGAAACAAATCACCATTCGCAATAATTGTCAAATATTACTGACAACTAAAAAAATATTTTTCTTAAAAAGGACAATTTTAGCTTGTATAAAAAGCCAGATTTTGGGGATTTGTCATTTTGGCTTTCATGAATTGAGAAAAAAGGATGTGGGGGCAGACTTTTCAAGGAGCTTTTGGCCTATTGCTGTTTCTCCAGGACTTTTCAAGCCCTGGAAAAGGCCCTGTCAATTTTCCAGGACCTGTATGAACCCTATATTTAGATCACAAACATTATATATGAATTTGATAACCATTGCAAGTAAACTGGATATCTAATGCTAGATTAATTGAACTTAAAGACGTTAAGGTGTTGAAAATCTGGAGACTATTAGAAGTAAAATGGTTTAAAGTCATTGTTAAGTGGGAAGAAAAATATATAGTGACATTTTTCTATATTAGGTACATGATCAATTAGGTTTCAGGTTTCAACATTTCTGTAGGTAATATCAACCCGAAAAAGAATGATAAGTATATAATATAGTTTGTTTTTTGTGAATTCCAAGAAAACTATGGGTAAGTTAAAAGGAATTTTTACATGTTTTGTTCAGGCTGTACTTAACAAGATGATAAAATAAAAATTATTGATTGACTGCTTCAAAAAAAGAGAGATTAAATGGAGCTAATACTTACTTGCTTAAGTTCATATTCATCTGTAAAAGCTATATGCTTTACCCCTGGCAACTGAAGAATATATATATATAAAAAAAAAAAGAATTAATATCTGATAAACTGAAATAATATGTGGTATGATAAATGCACAGTAGATCTATCAATACTTTTCAAAGCTTTTCATGATAAAAATCTACAGGAAAATTTGATTGCCATGAAAAAGAAAATTAACCATTAAGAAAGTTTCTACATTGCATTTATTGACAATTATTTTAACAGAAATTTTCATAAACAAGATGATGTATTCTTTATGAAATGTTTATGAAGGTGATCCACCATGGAACAGTATTTGACAAACAATTTTTACAGAGAACAAGTGTTCCTGCATTTATTTTAATCAAGCGAAGAAAGGAGCTCAAAAGATTTAATCCCGCCTCCAGCACAGAAAAAAAATATCAGTAATCATAAAGATATCCAACTACAATGCAATTATTAAGTATTTTTTCATGCTGGATTTTCCCCAAAATTGTTTTTTTTTTGGTAAGAATTTATTGCAGAATCAAAATTACCTTTAGTAAGCTATCAGTTGTTTCAATATGCAGTGGCAAGTTGCCTCCATCAACATCTAACAAGCCAGGAGCAACAAAACTAAATCCTCGGAACAGTTGGTGGTCTTGTGCACTGACTGGAATGCCTGGTGAGTCTATGCAGAGTTAAAGAAATCAAGTGGCCAAAGTTAAAAACATAGTAAAAATAAAAGTGGTGATGATATATTTCAAACAACTCTATAAATATGAATACAAAAATTAAAACAACAAAAGTCATTAGTCTTCTATCTGTAAAAGCTTGAAGGAAAAACATTCCTTATGGTACAAACATCTGCTTTCATGAAACATTGAATTTAGATCAAAGATAATTTGTCCTAACAAAGTTGAGTATATCAAGCTTTTCAAATGTTGGCCATTTTTGCTGCACTCCATTTTAAGTAACATTGCAATCAAGTGATACACTTATAAATGAAGTTGAACCATTCAATCTTTCAAAAAGATTCCATAGAACCAACACATTGCTCAAATGAACTAAGATACTATTATAAACAGATACTTTTGAGAATATCAAGTATAAAAAAAAAGGTACATATGTGCATCTCCCTCTCCTCTCAGATGTGCGTGAACATATTTTAATATATTAAATATTTTAATATATTAAAAACAAAAACTACTGCTACTACAATTTCATCTGTAGATCAAGCAGTAAAAGTTAGGATCACCCTACCCACTTGCATTAGCACACTTATATATGTACCATCAGTGACATGCACAGAAAAAATTTGTATATTTCAACAAAATAAGATGTTCTAGCCAGTTTCATTAGCTTACTAGGAGAAATTTTTTTATTTGTATAACAGTTTTCCCTTTAAAAAAAAAAAGCAAGTGCTTTGCTTGCCATTTTTGTTACAAGTTTGCATAAAAAAAAAGTATATATATATATATATATATATATATATATAAAATATGTAATAAAAATATCGTTTTAAGGTATGCTATATTTATGAATAAAAATGCTCAATATCAGAGAGAGTGCATGTAAATACAGAATATATAAAAAGTTGAGTCCAAACACAACACACATGGCTTGAAGACTGCATTCAAGCATCAAACAGACTGTCGCTGAAGGTCAATATCGGAACTAATTAAATAAGGGAAACTCAAGATGTTATATAAAATACACACACTGGTGTTTAAGCCATAGAACAGCAAATATATGTCACAATTTCTAACAATTATAATAGTGGCTTTGTAATTTTGGCTAAGTTCATTACAACCCCAACAAAATCAAATGTTTTAGCAACAATAATCAATTCTAGATTATTCTCGACATTGTGTAGTAAAGACAAGAATTTAAATACATAAAATTTTAATCTAAAAGTACACAGAAAGAAACAAGTGAAAAAAGAAATTAGTTTTTAAGAGAAAGTTTTTCTAGCAAAGTTACCTTTCATAGACATTAAATTTTTCTCAATGGAAATTCCTTCTCATATAACAAATATTTTCCCCTTAAGATTACTATTTACTGTTTAATAATGAGCAGATTAATACATTCTAATCAATACCTACTGTTTTATTTACTACAGGCTGTCATAGCAATCTATTTCATTACTTTTACAAAATAATATATAAAAAACTGTAATGAAACAGTAAATAAGATTTTACCTATGTTGGTTATAGGAGAAAAATGTATAGAGTAAAGAGTCAGACAGGAGAAAGTTAACTACTGATCACATGTCATAGAACAAACACAACAATATGGCATCACTGATATGATGTTTAAGTTGTTGGGATGAACAGGAATTTGTTTAGACTTGATTCTGGTGTTTTGCATACCATGCTAGGGCTAAAAAATTGGAAGATATTAAGGCAAGAGAGGGAGAAAATTAAATAACTGACTTCTTCCTAGCTTTGGCAGATTGTGAAGCTATAATGAAAATTTCTGTTATGGTATACCCCAAACAATTGGAGAATCTGAATTTCATTGAAATTTCAGAAATTATAAAAAGAAATTTACGACCTAAAAAGAAACTTGTCATAGTAGAAAGAACCAAATTTCTGTTCATTAAACAGAAACAAGAAGAAATAATTATGCAAGATCTTCACACATTTAGAAAAGCTAACAGATTCTGCAAATTTGAGAAACTTTGAACTCAAGATTTGACTATTGAGGATGAATTGATTCAATTACAGTTGATTGAAGGTATGATTGATACATTTTATAAATATAAGACATTGAAACAATTACAATTGAATAATTTTTCTAACTGCATGGTTGGAAATTATACAACAGCTGGATTTAATTAAAAAGTATAATTCTACTGTGGACAATGTTGAAATGTACGGCATAAAAAAAAAGGAACACAAGAAATGCAAATACTGTAAGTATGAAATTGATAGAAAAAATTGCCCTGCTTTTGGAAAAATTTGCCATAATTGTGGAAGGAAAAGTCATTTTCAGTCTATATGAAAAGTTAAAAAAAAAGTATAGAAAAATTGGAAAAAGAAAGAACTGATGATGTCTTTTTAATACAAAGACCTAAGGAAAAGAATTCTTTTGAAAACATTAACTGGCATGACTTTTTCAGTGCAAGTAGGTCACTCTAATCCCAAGAAATTTATGGGAACAAATGGGTAATCTTAAATTGAGGTAATTTGAGGGAACTTTTATAAAAACTTTGGGATACCTCAATGAAACTTGAGACCTTTGACCGATTTGAAATTATTCTAATTACAGTAGTGGAATGTAAAAAAATTCATGGACTATGAGATATAGATGCTTTAAAGGTGGATATGTTGAAATTAATATTGTAAAATCAGAAAAAGTAAAAATGGGAGTGTTAAAAGGGTATAAAGCAAGCATACAATTAAATGAAAATAGTACCCCCTCCAATTTTGAATCCTATAAATTACCTATTTATATTCTACCTTTAGTAGTTACCAAGTTAAAGAAAAATAGTAGAGGAGAGAATTTTGAAGCATGTTCCTCCAGGTGGCAATAAATGGGCCTCTCCAGTTGTAGTTTTGTAGAAATCCGATAGAAACTTAATATGTAGTGATTTTAAAATAGGTGTAAATCATAAGATATACTCAGATTTGCATCCTATTCCCAATATCAAAACTACTATCCACAAATTATTGGGCAGGAAATTTCTTTAGAACATTTATTTAAAATATGCCTGTAATCAAATACAGATTGAATGATATATTCAAGGAAATTACCACAATAAACACTCTCATAAGATTAAGATTGGTAAGAATGCCTTTTGAAGTGAAAACGGCAAGTGTCATTTTTCAGAGAGCAATGGAAAATGTGTTAACTGACAAAATTAGTAACATTATTATTTATCAAGATGATATTTGCCTTGGTGACATCACTAAAAATGAATTAAAAACAAAAAATAAAACTGTGTTGAACAAATTAAAAAATTCTGGGATGACAATAAACAAAGAAAACTGAATTTGACTGCAAGAAAATATATTTAGAGTATCAGATTTCACAAGATGGCATGGCACCAGATCCAAAGATAATTAAGAAAATTTCAGAGGTATCTATACCTACTAATAAAAAAAGAACTAGAATCCTTTTTAGGATTAGCTAATTTTTATAATAGATACCTATCAAAATACAGCAACTTAATAAAACCATTTGCTGAATTGCATAAAAAGAATAGGGTGTTCAAATGGACTCAAAAGCAAAATTTAGCATTTGAGGATTTAAAAAAGATACTTGCAGAAAAACCAATTGTAAAAACCTTTAATCCCAAAAAGGAGGTTATGTTAATTATGGATGTGACTGAGCAAGTTGTGTCAGTAATTTTATTACAAGGTCATCAAATAATGTACCTTTCAAGATTAATTTAAAAAAAAAAAAATAAAAAATTATTCAAATATTGAAAAAGAGGCATTGGCCATTGTCAGGAGTACAGATAGAGCTTGACAATTTTTTCTATTAAAAGTTGGAACATAAACCTCTAGTTATTTTTAACCCTAGAAAAGAGCTACCAAAAGTTACTTCTTTCAAGATTCTAAGATGGGCCATAAAATTAATGGTTTATGATTTTAACATTGAGTAAGTAAAAGGAAATACAATACCACATGCGGATGTGCTATCAAGGTTACAATTTGATAAGGACCAAAAAGATAAATGGAAATCCCAGATTAAGAAATATTACATTGGGTTGAAACTGGCATATTTCTACAAATATTGGTATCAGAAACTCCATATGATTTGATATTAAGCATAGATTACTGAGAGAATAAGAAGAAATAAGTGGAGTAATTGTTCCAAAACTGAAAGACCTTATAAAGAAATAAGGCATAAATTAATAGAAAATGGTGTTATATGCAATGGTGATGTTATAGTACCATCAGAAACAGTAAGAAAAGATATTTTAAAAAGTATACATGATGATGTGCATTGTGGGATAACATTAAAATTGAAAACATGGCGGCTGGGGTATTATCATGATATAGAAAAATATGTACATAAATGCTCAAAATGTGCAGAAATAAAGAATTTTTGACAATGGAGAATACATGCATGGCCTAAAGAAATGGAACCATGACCTCTCATATTTATATGGACCATGTACACATTAATGGCATAGGACTATTTCTAATTTTAGTAGACTCCTTTTTGGGATGGCCTAAAGTTGTTAAAGCAAATATTAAGAGAAATACTTTCTAGAAATGGGATCTCTAAAACATTGGTATCAGACAATGCACCAAAATTTTGTGGTGTAGATTTATGTAATTGAATGAGGTGGATTGGTTGCTTCCCTTACAAAACACTACTGTATCATCCAAAATCTAATGGTCTGCAGAAAGAATGGTGAAAACAGTAAAAATGGGATTGAAGGCATTTCCCCGCAAGTAGATCATTACTTACCAAGGTTACTGCTTAGTTATAAGACAATTCCACATACAGACAGATTGCAAAACCCATATGTGTTAATGGTAAGACAAATAAGATCTCCATTAACAATGTCTTATTCAACAAATGAAAAGATGGGGTATAAAAAAGATGAAGTAGTAAGTCCTGAGAGAGCTAATTTCATCATGCAAAGGGACATAACACAGGCAAAGAAAGGAAAATGCCTAATGGCACATTCTGACCCAGAATTGTGAAAGAAGATGTGATAGAAAAAGATCTTGAAGAAGAAAGAATGAGTTCTTTAGATCAGGATAAGCCTATGGGTAATAGTGGGAGTGACTCAGACATGGAAGATGATGAGAAGAGACAAAGATCTCCATAAAAAAGAACTGGACATAAAACTCAAGGGTAAGAGGAGGAAAGAAGTTATAGAAGTTGTTCAGGAACAATGAAAAGCATTAAAACTCTTCAGTTCAGGGAGGTGTAATGAGATTGGCAAATAGGATTTTAGCTATTTGCACATGTCAGTTATAGGAGAAATAAAGTATAGAGTAAAGAGTCAGACGAGAGAAAGTTAACTTCTGATCATATGTTGTAGAACAATACAAAAAAAAAATCTTGAAGAGACACTACTTCAGTAATAAAAACAATGGAGCTATCTTCAGGTGGTTCAGTACTTCGTGTAAGTCAAGAAATGTTTGTTGTATGTTCTTTATTATTTTTTCTTTGCCTTGAGCATAGCTGCTTAAGTTTTTTTCTTCTTAAGTTATATATTACTGAGCAGTCATCCCCTCTAAATATAGCAAATTATAAACTATGTGCATATACACACACAATCCACATTTGACAGTGATAGATTTTTTAGCCATGATAAAATCATTCGAAACAATTCAGTCCTCTATTTTACGTATGAACTTAATATCAGAAATAGAATCTTTGTTTTAGTTGACTCCAATACAGCTACACAATATATAGATTCACACTTACATCTCTCCTTCCTTACACACAATTCCATTAATAAATACATTAGTCTTATGAAGTCCTTCTAGTGGAAACACATTACACAGAATATGATAAAAATATAGTTTTAAGGTAAACTATATTTATATCAGAGATATGTAAATATGGCCTGAAGATTGTGTTAAAGCATGAAACATGAATGAATCATTGCTTGGTGTTGACCTTGGTGTTCACACACACGTCCACATGCAATGAGAATCGATCAAATAAAAATTCAACATTCATAACACAAATTTAAAAATAGAGCTCAATACACAAGTAGAGCAATAGGATATTACATTCGAACATATATAGTACCACTACATCAATGCACATCATAGCATCTCATCAGGTGGTGGTAAATGATCGCTTACCACCACCTAATGAGATGCTATTATGTGCATCGAAATGTTAATGCAATGATGTAGTAATACTATATATATATATATATATATATATATATATATATATATATATATATGCATATATATATATATATATATATATGTGTGTGTGTGTGTGTGTGTGTGTGCATGCATATATATATATGTGTGTGTGTGTGCTATATATATATATATATATATATATATATATATATATATTTGAGTCTGTATTCAAGATATGCATATTGAATTTTAAATTATTAAATAATTTGTGTACTTTTAAAGCTGTTGGCTTTCATAAAGTGAGCTAACATTTTTCTGAGGCTCAAAAAGATAAAAAGTGCATATCTACATTCCTACTTTAAAAATATTAAATTAATACAAGGTATAGTGAAATTGTTAGCTGGAAAGAGAAACAAAAAATGTTCCAACTGAAGACAAATTTTTCTTTCTCTGTTCTTATATGAGAAATGTAAGCATGCATAGTTTTTCTCAACTATGAGATTTGTCAGTCAAAAGCATTTTAGTGCCTTAAGAACTTTCATGTGATCTTTTCAATAAAAGTGCTTAGGGTCAGAAAATATATAATACATTTAGCTTCTTGGAATTTAGCACAAGGTCATTCATAGTATATACTGCGATAGACAAATTATTGCCAAACTCTCCTCTAGAATTAATGTTATTCAAGTAAAATCAAGCAGATGTTTTTCAATACATTGACATTTTTGAAGTGTTATGATGCCACACATTAACCATTTTATTTTATGGTATTTGGAGAATGCATCATTATATTCAAAGTAGAAGATAACATGCCAATAAAAATGTTAATACTATTATATCTCGTTTTGAAATATTAATAAAAAAAAGTCAATATGTCAACCTATCTAAATTAGTTATGAAAAATAAATGTTCATCAGATTACAACAAAACCAACAAAGTCATCACCCTCACACAACATAACCCACTGGCTTATATATATAAAATTTTAATTAAAAATTATCATATATTGATGCACAAAGTTCAAAGTTTTATTTGAATCATTTCAATCCTGCCTCCAAAAATCAGCTTAAGTCTCCTGGCTTAGCTCTAACATTGAAAGAATCCATTACAGTCAATTCCCTTTCTATAAGGATACATCAGAATGTTATATCCAAATACACTGCCTAACTTCATATCATAACTTCTGAAAATTTTGCATATTTTGCTAGTTACAAAGGTTTCTTAAATATTGAAATTTTTTTTTTTTTTTTTGGGACATGTTTTTTGAAAGCATGAAATACACATACAAAGAATGAGAGGAAAAAAAAATTACAAAAGAAAGAAGGAAGAGAAAATTTGTGATGAACTGATGGCAGAAAGAGAGAGAAAAAAAATTCAACTAACAGACCAAACCTTTAGGAGTCTTAGAAGTAAACTCTGAGTCAAAATAAAATGCTTCATCAGCACGTACAACTGCTGGTTTAAAAGGAGGGTTGACTTCTCGCCGCAGCAGTTTATCCCAGTCTATAGATGCAAAAAACGGGTGTTTCTTGACTCCATCAATGCCCTTCGTTCCATAGCCTGGCAAGAAATCAGACAGGTTGCTAACAATTAAGCATGCAGATTAGTGAATAAAAAGCAACGTTTGAGATCAAGCAGGATAATAATGTGCAGGTAAATGTTTTCATTTTTTTTTTTTTTTTTTATTTCCCAAAATCCATCTTCTTGGCTGCAACAGTATTATCTGATTAATGATTAATTTTGTCAAGGGGGTGTCACTTCACATGATGTTTTTTTCAAAGTACTTTTCATTTTTTAAGGGTGCCACAGTATGAACTGTTCAGTTAAGAGATATAGAGTTTTTTTTCTGGAAGAATAAAACCTGGATAGTTTTAGCAATTGTTTAATGTTTGAGTAGAGACAGAAATATTTTTGTATACTATTAAATAGTCGATATCTTAAGTTAAAATTAACTTTAGTTAGCTTGGTTGATTATTACATGTCAAGCCTTGTTGAGTTATTTAATGCTGAATTTTGTAAGGGGAACCCAACTTGCCATTATTCCCAATGTCAAGGCACTCTGATGAACTAGAAGAAAGTTCTTTATTTTGCATTAACTAACAAAGTGTAATGCTCAGCCATTAATATAAGGGTAAGTAAAACATCATCCACTCTTTTGCCATAACATATTTTTAGGTTTGTCACACTACCTTCTATTCATGCATGTTTATAGTTGGTACTCTTATAGTCATGTGACCAAAGTTTGAGTTTGATCATATCAATAATCTTGCTACTGTTACAGTGTAAACATAGCCATTCCGCTAGCAGTGTGTACCGAGGGGGAACAAAGAGCAGTGATTCAAATCTGCAGAGAACATGCTACCTCATTGATGATAACTCACTGATTCACCATCTTTTGACCTTACAGAATCTTCTTGTTAGTGGTGGAGGTTGATGAGTGTCCTGCCCTTCCTGTTCGGCCACTTTTAAACTTCTCAACTCACTCCTACACACTTCTATGTAGTAGTGAACCGTCACCACATTGTGTTAAAATGCTCCAATGAATTTCACCCTGACATACCTTCTGACAAGAGAAATTGGATTACTATTCTTTGTTCCTCTTGGTGTATAATGTTAGTGGAGTGGATGCATTCTCACTGTAACAACAGCAAGAAAACTGCTGCGATCAAGCTCAAATTTTGCTCATATGACCACAATAGTACCAAATATAAGCACGCATGAACAGAAGCCAATGTGATAAAACTAAAGATATTTTATTGTGAAAGTGTGGATAATTTTTTTTTATTTTATTTTTTATTTTACTTACCTTTGGAATTAAAAAATACAATAATAGTGAAATTTTAAACAAGAATTGATTTGAATAAGTTTTCTTTTAGAAATTTCTAGAAAGTTACAAAGATTATTTTCTAACCTAGACTGTTAATGTTATATACAAATAGATCTATATTATATGAAACTGATTAAATCTGACAAATATTTTTAATATATTTTGTTTATAGATTATTTTTTATGGATACAACTTATTTGAGTAAATGCTTCACTTTTAATTGAACAGTATTAATTACATTTATTGGCCTTAAAGTTTGAGAAATTTCATAGAAAATATGCTCTCTGATAGGAATCGAACCTGTATCCCATATGGAAACTGTCATTTGGCCTGACGTGCTGTTAACTGTTCAGCCACAGAGAACTTCCGGTTAGCTATCTATCCCTGGTAATTGAAGGAGACATCAATTACAGCCCATAAAAATAAATATGCATATTTATAAAAGCATTAACATAAGCAGTCATGCAGTTTTTCTCATCTGTATATAGCAGCCAGCTCTAGAATAAAGCTATCAAGCAATAATTATATTCTACTGCTTAAATAGAACTTTTGCTTCTTTGCAAAGGATAGCAGAGGTGAAGGAAATACATAGCAATTTGAAAGAAAGAAAATAAGCAAAACTTTGTATACAAGCCTTTATTTTTATATATTTTCATTTTTAAATATTGCTATTTATTGTATATTCAATAGAGGCAAATTATCAGTTCCCTCCATCATAAATAACCCTGAGGTTCTCTCATACTCAATGAATAAGGCTAAGCTCTTTGCTATGAACTTTACCATTAATTCTAGTTTAGATGACAAAGACCATCTCTTACTTGACTTTCCCTATCTCATAGAGTACAAGATTCATGATACATCGGCTTGGGAGGTTTCTAAACTTATCAAAAGCTATGAAGCTACTGGTTCAGATAAAATCCCTGTAGTTCTCAAGAACCTCGATTCAGAACTGCCTCCAATTTTGGCAAAACTGTTCAACTGCTGCCTTAAATAGAAATGTTTCCCAACTCATGGAAAGCATTTAGTGTGCACCCCATATTCAAGAATGCAGGTGAACTCTCATCCTATTCACAATATCACCCCATCAGTTTCTTTAGCATTATAAATAAACTTTTCAATGTTATTATAAATAAGAAAGTCGTTGAACACCTCAACAAAAACAAACTTCTGAGTGACAAACAGTATGATTTGTACACTTCTAAATCCACAGTTGATGCCTTAACTATCTATTACTATGCATAGAATCAAGTAAAATCAAGTAAGCTCTTGATAATAAAAATCTCAAGAGAGATTGCCCTAGATATCTCAAAGGCCTTTGATAAGGTATGACGTAGGAAATTGCTACACAAACTGATCAGCTATGGTATCACTGGAAGAGTGCTCTCAGTTATTCTGTCTTTCCGTCTAGGTAGATATATATAGTGATTTTCCAAGCGTAGCTTAGATGTGGCACAAGGCCGAAAGTATGGGGGCACCTAGTGAGGATCGAACTTACTACTCAGTCGTAATTGTTCTAGCGAGACAAGCTTGCTCACCATTACATCACCTTGGGGTGCCTATCCTACTAAGTGTGTGTGTGTGTGTGTGTGTGTGTGTGTGTGTGTATATATATATATATATGAATGATACTACAGTGTATTGCTGCACATCCAAATGTCTTGATGACCAGTGCCTGTCAGCTGATTTCTTCCGTGGCCTAACACTCAGAGCTGAATGGGGAAATAACTGGCCAATATCATTTGATACATCCAAAACTAAACATCACTACTGAGCAAACCCCAAACATGCACACCTATCCTGATGAGTGGCCATATCCTCAAAGAGACTCTTTGTCTTGACCACCTACTGGGGATAAAGCTCATGCTTGACCTAAAATGGAATGTGTATATTTGTGTCATTGCAAAAGATGCTGGAGGAATAGTCGATTTATTGTATTGCTCCAGAGAATACCTAACTCCCACTGCCATGCTCTATCTTTTTAAAAGTTAGATCAGACTAAAAATGAAGTATTACTGCCACATCTAAACTGGTGATGCCCAGTCCTCACTGTCCAGCCTTGGCAAGAAAGTGATTAAGTAACCTGTCGTTGATGAATTATTCCCCACCTCACAACCCTTATCACACAGACAAAACATTGCCAGCCTTTAACTACTATATCACTATTATTATGCCAGATATTTAGATGAATTACATTCCTTAGTGACATCAGCTTGGGCCTTCACAGATAGGACCCAACATACTGTATTAAAGGTGGCAAACCATTTCCATAGTTTTCCTTTGATAAAAAGCATGTTCCACTCAAGCAGCTTCTTCTCCAAAACTGTTACTTTGTAGAACAAACTCCCATGAGAATGCTTACCTGACAAAAAAAATCTTAGTCTCTTTATGTCCAGGGTCAACTGATATCTAAAGAAAAAAAAATCTTATTTTTGATAAATTATGTTTCCACTGGCCAAGGTCTTTGAAAAGGCTTATTTATAATTTCATTGTATTGGTTTCAAGAGCTGTCAGCATATTTATAACTAAAAACATTGAAAACAATTGAATTTAGATTCAATAATCAGAATAAAGAATAAATATTTGATAGGAAAGGTAGCATTTGAATATTAAAAGAAAAAAAGTTTTAAATGAAATATTAAAAATACTGTCCAAATATTAGAGATAATCATTTGTTATGGGAAACAGATTTTAGTTAGTAACACTAGGCAACTTAATACAAACAAGTTACATTTAAATAATCAAAACAAGAAACTATCTAATGATTTATGTAATATTTAAGTGTTATAGCATGCAAAATCCTTTTTATCAAATACTTTATAAATGCAAACTGGTTACTCAATGAATTAGGAAACAATATTGAGGATATCTGTTGGCACTTAACATTTCATTCATATAAAGATTTCTGGTTTGAGAAATTTCATTTCTGTCACAAATTGGCAAAATTTTATCATTTAATATAAGGTTGTATGTTTAAATTATATGTAGAAGAGTTAAAAGAATAAACTTAGTTTGGAGTTTATATAGTTTTGGTAGATGCTAGTATTACAAACGAGGTGATTGGAAAATAGAATTACTGACAGGAGCATACATACTAAATGCAATGTAACAAATAACAATGCATGCAAAAAAGAAAAAATATCAAGAAAAGCATCAATGTTAAAGGAAAGAAACAAAAATGAATTGAAACGCAAACAATCTGAAAGGTAAAATTAAATTTATATAACTTTATATATGAATATGTAGTTCTGATGTAAAGAGAAAAACAGAAAAAAATATCCTTAAAATAAATGTTAATCAAAAAAATTACTTGCATATTAAATATAATTTATAATTATCTTCATTTGATACATATTAAAAATTATGTCAGATGGCATTTTGAAAGGCACACACACACAATTGTATGTTTATATAGCATTTATTAAATTCAGCTTAATATATTAGAAATCTACATAAAAAAATCTTTAAGGGTTTGTTGTGCCAATCTTCAAAGTATCTTTTTGCATATTCTTTGAAAATCAGAATTTGAAATTGTCATTTTAACGAAGCTTGAGTATAAACAACAGGTGCCAGAAAGAAATTTGTCAATTATCTTAGCTATAAGAATGAACTAAGTTTAGACCGGGACAAACCTATGGTAATGGGTCACGCTGTGAGGCCCAAAGTAATAATGAACAGGTCTACAGAACGAGCTTACTAACTTTTGAACTATGACAGAAATTTTTTACAAATGTGTGTACATGTGTCTGCAAGAAAGTTTACACAATCTTGTAATGAGTATCAATCAATTCATACAATCCATTACCTCTAATATAAAGATAACACCAAGAAAAATAATCTATATATAAAATAATGAAAAATGCCATAAAATAATATCTGCTTATGACAAATATACAAGTTATCTTACAGATAAGTGTAAAAAAAAAAAAAAAAAAAAAAAATTCTGAACTTTTTTGTTAATACAATTATTAATAGCATGTTATAAGAAAGATTTACCACAAGTTGAAGTTTTGAGTAAATATGAGAAATGCAAGACTAAACTCTGAATGGGAAAAAAAAAATTCAAGAGAATTTGTGGACTGTAAAAGTATTTCATACCTAAACGGTTCTGGGGATTCCTTTTGAAGAGTGCACGCAACAGACTCTGAGCCTCTGCAGAGAGGAACTGAGGCATACCTAATTTAGCTCTGAAAATAAAAACATTATATTGAAAATATCAATAATTTTATATTACCTATTTTCAAATATAGCTTCCTGTAGTGAACGAGATAATCAAGTACCCCGGAAAAAAGTTTGTGTTTTGTGTGCGATCTGCCGGGATAGGATGCTCCGTAATTTGCATATTAATATACTCTTATAGCGACTCCTGCAACAGACTTGTTTCTTTTTCATCACAGAATACACGCGATGCGCTGTCGCTTGGGTTGACGAGGTAAGTCGCTATAAGAGTTTTGCTGACTACTTTTTGGCAATCCCTCCCTGGCTTCTGAGAGCCTTTCCATCAGCCGTTAGTACGTCCATCTTTTGTCTGCTCCACTGTCGGTAAATCGAACCATTGGTGAGTGACCGAGAGCAGCCTGAATCTATTAACGCGGTACGTGTTATTCCATTGATGCGTACCTTAATCACAGGGAGCGCCACTTTCATGCTCGGTGCGGGGAAGAGACTGGCGCTGACGTCGCGTCCCCCATTCCATTTTCTGGGCACTTAGAGGCAATATGACCTACTTTATGACATTGAAAGCATTGTAGATCGAGACGTGCCTTTCGCGCCGACCCGCTGCGCATTTCTTCACGTTGATAGCGGCAGTCTCTGGCAAAATGATTCGGGCTGCTGAATCCCCGAATTCAGTGGTGATACTAGTGGACAGTCTGTGGTTGAATGGATCGAAAAGGTGGAACTGGTCTGCGAATTATGCGAGATATCGAAGATTGATCGGATTCTTCCTCTGCGATTGAATGGTGGCGCCTTTGCTGTGTATAGGCAGCTGAGTAAAGAACAGAAAAGTGACATTGAGCAAATAAAGCACGCCTACTAACGGCGTTTTGAACTGACCAGTTCGTGGCCTCACGACCAATTCCAGGCACGGCGTCTGCGTCTGGCGAGACAGTAGACGATATTTGGCAGAATTAAAGAAGCTCGCCATTCCAATCGCACCGCTTCCTGAAGAATGGATGACATGTGCCTTCATTTCTGGATTGCCCAGTCATGTTAAGCAGATACTCTGCACATCATCCAGAATGGAAGACCTGACGCTCAATCAATTGTTGACCAGAGCCCGTGCTGTCATGATCGACGAAAAAGAGGCTGATGAACCAGTGGCCGCAGTTATTCAACCAATTGAAGTCAAAGAAGGTCCGACCCCAGCCATTCGTCACCATGGTGTTGCCACCTGCTATCGGTGCTCTGGGCCGAAATAGCTTGAAGAGTAAGCGTTCTCAAAGCAAATTTGTGGCTTTCACAACACAGAGAAGGAAAATTCGGGCATTTTTGGCTATGGCGTTCGTGAGTTATTTTCCTGATGTGTTACAAGTGATTTTCTTTCTTTGTGTTGTGAAAGCCACAAATTTGCTTTGAGAACGCTTACTCTTCACTTCCACAATATTCAATAGTGAAAAATTAAAAATAAGAGCAAACAAATATACAGTAGAGATTAGAAAATAAATCCTAATATAGGTAAATTCAAGTTTTAGTGAAATTTGGTTGATGAATATAAAGATGCAGGAAAATATATTACATACACATATTTTATATTAGTGGTTACCTTAATTACTTAGCCAACTATTGTATCATAGCAGTAACCAAATATCTGGAGATTATATATACACACATATATATATATATATATATATATATATATATATATATATATATATATATATATATATATATCTATCTCAAATGCCGGCTACTGCTATTAACACTAAGAGCTCTTTTGCTATGAATTGAGCACTCTGGTAGCTGGTAATGCTTATATCTAATATATAAGGTGTTAAAAAAATTCCCTTTTTTCTGCTGCATGAGCTGATGGCCTAAGGGTAAGAGTCTCCGAATGATTTCAAATTGGTCAGGTTTTGATCCTGGCTTGAAGCAATTGCATGTCTAGCCACACTGTGATACAACGAAATAGTCTCTGGATGACACACCCACACATATATATATATATATATATATATATATATATATATATATATATACACACACACACACACACACACACACACACACACACACACACACACCTATATCTGTCCAGCTCGAGACCCCACATGTTGCAGATGGAGAAAAATAATTGGCTATTTTGCAAAAGCATGTTGTTCACGGACATCTGCCACTCGTCATTCTTCTAAACCTGTAGTAATGGCAACATCATTTACAGATTTGTTTGCAGCAACTAATCTGATAAAAATAAATGGAAGGAAGGTCAGAGCTCTTGTGGACACTGGGAGTACCGAGAGCTTCATATGTGAAATGTGGATTCAAAAGCCTCATCTGCCTATTCTACTGAGGAATAATACCGTGTCAATGATGTAGACTTCTGAGCTCTCTGATGTCAGGTAAATGTGGAAGTGGAGAGACAAAAATATTTTGATATTAAAGTGTGCGTGCTTCCTGTGATTTGTGTGCTGCTGTCATCCTTGGGCAAGATTTTATGAGGTGACACAAAAGTATCTGTGTGAAAGTTGGTGGAAAGAGGCCTCATTTAAGTGTGTGCAGACTGACTACCTTCTCTATTCCCCCTCCCTGACTCTTTGCTAATCTTGCTGAGAATTGAAAACTGATAGCTGTTAAATTTAGCAAATAAAGTAAGCAAGATAAAGAATTCATTGCTACTGAAGTAAATAGACTACTCTCAGAAGGAATTATTGAGACCAGCACTTCCTGGCAAGACCAGGTCATAGTGACCACTAATGAACAACATAAAAAGATAATGGGGGTTGACTATGCTCAGATGGTTAACAGATTCACTATGTTGGATGCCTACACTTTACCTAAGATTGAGGAATTGGTAAATAAGGTGGCACAACACAAAATTTATGGTAACAGATTTGAAATCTGCTTACTACCAAGTCTCAATATCTGAAAAAGACAAAATTTATACTGCGTTTGAAGCAGATGGCAAGTTATATCAATTTTGCAGGGTACCGTTTGGAGTAAACAATGGAGTAGCTTGCTTTCAAAGGATAATTGATAAGTTTATAACTGACAATTCATTCTCCCACACATTTTCTTACTTGGATAATATAACTGCGGTAGAAGTCAGGAACAGCACAATGAGAACCTCAAATTTACGGAAGCGGCCAAGAAATTCAATTTAATTTACAATTATAATAAATGCTGTTTCTTCAGTGGACCTTCTAGTTTACACAATATCTGAGGGTACAATTAAACCAGACCTCAAGTTACTTTGACTACTTAAAGAACTTCCCCTTCCTCACAATATTAATTCTCTTCATCTTGCATTGGGAAATGTTCTCTTACTATTCCCAATGGATTGCTAAGTATTCTGAAAAAGTTGCCCCTCTCCTCGTGCAAGCCAATAACTTTCCACTACCCAAGACTGCTAAAAAAGCCTTTGAATATTTGAAAACTGAAGTGGAAAACAATAGTGTATACTATTGACAAAACAGTTCTTTTCACTGTAGAGACTGATGCTTCATACCACACTATTGCAGCCTCACTAACCCAATCTGGTAGATCAGTAGTTTTCTTTTTGAGGACAGAGTACCAGTGAATGAAAACACTCTTCCATAGAAAAGGAAGCCCAAGCTATCATAGAGGCCTTATGTAAATGGAGGCACTACTTAACAGAATGTCAGTTCACTTACTGATCAGCCATGTACCTTTTGACTACACTAAATGGATATATAGTTTGGCCAATGGCATAGCCAGGGCCAGCAGTACATAAGCTAATTTTATGCCTTGTGTATGATGTCACCCCCTTAAAATTAGCTTCAAAATTTGCATGATATTTGAGTATAACATTACAAAGCAGAAGTGCATATATATATATATATATATATATATATATATATATATATATATATATATATATTACTCACACACAGATCTTCCTTCATTAAGCTTATACCACCAGAAATCATAAAATCAAGATCAAGGCCTCCAAATGACTCAAGTAGCACAGTAGATACAGTCAATATGGTGGGTGGGGAGACAAACATGTGCCCATTTCAATCAAGGAAATATTTTATTACAATATTTTTCGCTACATTACAAAATGTTTACAATCAAAATTCTTTTAGTTGGGTTTTCATTTGTAGGTTAATAATGATAAGATTTCAAAAAACCTGAATTAGTCAAGAATATTTACAATATTTAAATATATTTCCATAACAAGTCACTACTTACTTGAGAATCTGTGTCATGGTCTCTTTTCTGTTTTGGCCCTGGAATGGCAGAGCGCCAGTTAACATCTCAAACTGAAATTGAAATGAAAGAAAGCACATGTATAAAAATGACATTACAATATTTAAGAGGCTAAGGGAATGGGTGGAAGGAGTCAAAAGTGAATTGTTAGTAAAATGTAAGCATATGGTACATATGCTTTTCGAAATTTGTTTAATTTTTTAAAAGCTTTTAGATGATCTATTCTTCAAGCATTGAATTATGGAGATTTGAAAGAAAAAAATATTAATTGCAAACAATATACATTGACACATGTCTGCTAACATTTTAGCATTTAAGTCATCAGAGTTACAATGATAGAGTATGGGTAATTTATATTTAATTATTGAGCTACTGTTTTCCACCAGATATTTGTCAATTTTTACTACCTAGTAGTAATACTAATTTTCTTAATGACATGTCTCTTCAAAAATGTAAGTGATCATGGTTTTCCAGATGTCTTTTTTTTTCTTTCTTTTAACTGTAAATTGCTATGACTTCTTGTGAAAGATAGAGAGGCTTACCTCTGCTGTCTCTAGTTTTGAACTTTGAGTAATCCTTAAAAATCAGTTGCCACTCAAGAGCCATCCTCTACTCTACTTCCCTCTGAGCACAAACTGTGTAGTCTTATTATCTTGGATCAGGAATTTTCCAAATTCCTCAAAAACCTTGACTCTATAAAAGATACTGCCCAAATAAAATCTGTTGTTGTAATTAAGAACCTTGAAATATCTCCAATTTTTGTAAAGTTGTTTAACCAAGAAATGTTACACTAAGTCTGTTAAAGTTGTCAGCTGCTTGCCTCGTTTCCAAGGATACTGGTGAGCATTCATCTTCATTGCAAATGTCATTAGCAAACCGAGTCCATTATGAACAAGGAGGTAGTTGATCAGAAGCAATACCTGAGCAGCAACAGTATAGGTTTAACTCCTCTATGTTCATTACTGATGCTTTAACTGTTTTGCTCTTGAATCATTGACACATTTGATGGTAGATTCATCATCAGAGTAATTACTTTAAAGTGAGGCATGGGGGTTTGCTACAAAAACTCCAGTTATGACATCTTTGGAAGAGTTTATGCAATCATCAAATCCTTACTTTCAGGTAGGTCCATGAAAGTCATTGACAATGGCCAGTCTTCTGAAGCTCATGAGATCAATGCAGTTGTCTCTTAAACTCAAGGTTCTCTTTTTTATCAATCTGTCCAGGAACACAGTTCAGAGGGGAGGTCAGCTGCAGAACTGTTATCTAAGTCTAACAGCTCAATGGAGAAATAGCAGACTTGTAACTTTCAATACCTAAAAAACAAAGCTAGTATCATCACCGATGAAACCCGGAGTTTTCTCCAGCCATAATGAATAGCTGCCTGTACTATCAATGAGACCTCATGCTTTAAAAATCTATTGGATCTCAAGTTCAAATCATAAAAAAATCCCTTGCTAACGACACTGGAAAGTGGTCAGTTTATTCTACCACTCCAAGAAGTAACTGACTCCTTCTGTCATGCTTCATTTTTACAAGATGAAGAATAGACAATAAATGGTGTATTACTGCCGTATCTGGGCTAGCTGCTTATTCCTCAGTTTCTAACTTTTGACAGAGTTCAAAGTTCTGTAGTTTTTTCTACTCTGCAACATCTTTCCCTATAGATACAACATCACAAGCCTATGACTATCACTATTTCCATGATAAATGTTCAGATAAGCTCCATTCTTTAGTTACACCAGTTCAGAAGTTTACAGCTACAATGTGCCATGTCACTTCCACAGAGTTGAATCAGCCTCATTTCCTCTGTATTCCAAGTGTAAGAAAGTTCTAGTCATACCTTTCCCCCTCATCAAGAATTGCAACAACTGCCAAGAATAATCTAATACATAGATACTTCCCTGAACACTACAATCTTAACCTTTTCAATCAAAGAATTAATTTTTATCTATCCTCCCTATCCTTGTAATCTCCCTCTTTCATTCATATCACACTTCATTATTACCATTTTGAATGTAACTATCTTGTGTGACTCTCAAATTTTGTACTGAGTGAACTCTAGTATAAAACAGCTTCATCTACCTGCTGTTTAAACCATAGCTGGAGGAGAAGAGATGGATTCATGCTCTCCCAAATGACATCAATGCAAAAGTGAAAGTCTGTTGTTCACATCAGAATTCAATTATCTGAAAAGATAATCATACAACCAACACATCCCAGTAGTAGCTGCAGCAATAAACTGTTTGAGATTTTGTTATAAAATTTCATTATTCCACATTTTTATTCTTAACTCATTTTTGTTGTATTTCATCACAAGAATGGTTGACTGAAAACATTTGTAAAACAGAATTTAATGAAAATGTGAAACAAGAAAATCTAAATGCCTCAGCAATTCAATCCAATTATCTGGATAAAATAAAAATGTAAACTATAAAATATATAAACAAAATAAATGAACAATAATTTATGAATAAAGAATATTTCATTTGTTTTATGGCATATCAACCTCAATGGGTTATTTCATACTGACAAGATTTTTATTACTGGTAATATTTTTTTCCCAAAAATGTATTGCTAGTATTAAAACCCATTTTTACATTTTCATAGCATTTTGACCCTAGTTGGTGGAGGGGGGGGGGTTAACTCTTTGCCCATAGCTGGGACCCTAACAGGTGCTACCACCCCAGATCAGGGTGGACCTGGGAACACCAGCAATTAAGAGGTGGTTCCACACTACACAAAACCTCCTGATCAGAGGCCTTGCTGTCGGATGTAGTTTATCGTCATACTCAGGACAGAATAAAGAATGTAAACAATGTTATAAAAGATAACATTGTGACATATTATTGTTCAATAGTACCATATTTAGTGTCTACTAACTGAGATGAGCTCTAGATTCTATGTTATAAATTGTAAATCCTGATTAATAGAATTAATTAATATCTATCATATCCATGTTTTGATTTAGTTCCTGTGTAGAAGAAGGAGAAAACAGAGTTCAAAACAAGTTTACTAGAGAGGAAAGAAGTGTAACTAACTCCATCACTGTAAATTATGGAGCACACTGTCCATCATAGATCATACCCACTTCTAAGCTTCTGTCAACAAGTGCTGACAGCAAACTGTCTGCCTCTTCAAGTAAATCCTTAAATCCTTATACCAAATACATGAATATTCATCAGGCGAAGATATTTTAAAGTTCGCATTCACATATGTGAATTTTTTGCATTGTCAATGGCTGTTTATATGCAAAGCACACAAAGAGCTATGCTTTTTTTAAGCTTCAGGTAATTTGCCACACCTTCTCCTGATCTCATTCATGATCACACAGGTGGCAGCCAAGCTGGCCTCTTTAACCTAATGCTTCTCCACAATGGGGCAGCTAGCAGCTCCTCTTCAGATGTCTCCAAATAAACTTAAAGGACTGAGCAGGTTTGCTAGAGTTCAGTTCAACCATTCTTTTGCTTTCCAATGATGTACCATCATTTCTGCTTGCAAATCTTTCATTAAGCACAGAACACCTTCAATGATAATACAATGTGACAATATGATTTCTCACATATCTTTAGAAGATAAGGAGATAAAAAGGAATTTAAGTCCACTCAGCTATTGGAGTTTTGTAGGAATTTTGTCTCCAGTCCATCTTGAGTGAACTTAGGGGTTAGTATTTCAGGATTCATGCCTTCAGTTTGCCTTTTTTTGGGAAACAAAAATTTTATAAATGATTTTATGTAATCAGAAAAGTAGTCCTTTGAAGATTTGACAAACCATGTGGCTTAGGGGTGGTCCCAAATCTTCCAGTAAGTGGATGGGGGGGGGAGACCCCCAGGATTATCCATATAAGCAGAGAGAGGCAAGAAGTTGGGGAAAGTAGGTCCAGCCATGAGAGAAGTAGGTAAATAGACAGAGAAGTTGAAGCTGCCCAGTGACAGAAGAGCCAGTAGTGAGGAATCAGGATTCGCTGAGGTCAATGAACTCAGGAAGATAGCAGCCAACCTCTTGAAGCTGAAGGAAAAATCCCACATCTAATTTATTGTTGCTACTTTCCAACTAGAGAGTCTCGAAAAACAATCGTCTTTTTTTTTATTGTTAAAAGTGATCAAAGCTGAGAAAACAAACCTGTGCAAATAGAGAGTTTGGTGTATATGCAAATACACTCAACTTTAGATGTCATCACAGGTGGAGTGAGTGATGAACGATTGGAGAATGTTGTCACAATTTTGCCACAAATGGCATCATAACAGTAACACAGCTCTTTTTCAATTCTGATCTGCATTGGCTGTACAAATTTTTCACATATCTTTTGGTAGGCACAGCCAACACGCATCCTCAATAAATGATTTATTTTCTTCAATACCTCTACAGTTAGGGAACTTATCTACCCCCACATATTCATTTCCTTTCCATCCACATACCACAGGGTCACATTCTCACACACTGGTGATGGTTTCTGCTATCATTCATATATAGGATTACATTATCTGCTTTATCATCTCAATCTTGTGTGACAATTGTGGCTTGCTATTTAATAAAGCTGGTTGCTGTGTAAAGTCACCCACGCACAGGAGAATGCCCCACAAGTTTTCTCACATGAGGAGAGAAAAAAAATGCATGATGATTTGGGGAATGTCTACCAAACCATTTCCTCGGCATCACTGCAGATTGCCATGCTCCCCACAGATTTCAATTCCCAATATTCAGACATCATTTCGAAGGCTCTTTTTGTCTTTACTCATCAGCTCAAAGTCTCATTGAATGTTCTTTTACAGTCATTAAGGATGTCACATCTTCGTTGACATAGATATTGTTACTGGATCAATTTGCCCACCTTTGAGCACAAACCTCATTATTAGAGGTGCTACATTGAGGTTGAATCCAAGCCTCAGGAGACAATGTCATCGTCCCTTAAACACTGCTGTTTAGTAGTCACAGTGACTTTTCAATGTATCTGCAGGTAGACTTTTCCAAGATCCAGGATGGATATTTTTGTACCCTGTCTCCACTCTCTTAATTTTTCCACACAGACATTCACTTTGGTCATAAAGTCATCAACATATGTATTTAATTCCCAAAAGTTCATTAAGGTATATATATTTCTTTTGTTTGTTTGCATTACAGCTATCAATAGTATCAGCCCTTTGGGAGGTTAAAGTTTTTCCTCAGGATACAGCAGAAGCCAACCCCTATCCAGCCAAGCTTACAGTTTGTCCTCATACTCCATTATTCTCAATTGACTGGATACTGGATATTTGCAGACCCTATTTGTCAATTTCTTGGATTCATGGCCCACTGTCCATTTCTACACTACAGCCCAGACAATGTGCCACTCACTGAATTCTGCATACGGTCAAACCCTTCAACTCGAAGATCTATACAGATAAGTGCTCTGAAATTCACATCCTTTCTGTTTTGCAGACACTAGCATTGATTCTAAGTAGTAGCTAGGAATCTAGTGGACTTGCACGCGCACACACACTACCAACATAACAAATTCAAGAGTGTTACTGGCTTCTGTGTAATTCCCAACAATTTCAACTTCTCAGCAAGCACATATATCCCTCATTTATTGCAGTCACTTTAATTTCTTTATTGGACCAAAACCAACACAACTTCTAAATCTAGAAGAGCCAAACATGGTATTCTGTTGATACAGACAGATGCCTTTAGTACATTGTTTCCATTTTGGCTGGGAAGATGTGTGACATCAATGTCTTTAGTTCTTGAGCACTCATGCCATGTACCTAACTTTGCTGCAGCAGCAGTAGTAGTAGTAGTGCACATGAGCTCTTGGTTTTCTGTTTAGACACTATCTCATCATGTGATCTAGACGATTGCACTTATAACAAATGACTTTAGAGTGTGTGTGTGTGTGGGGGGGGAGTCTCACAAGCGTTTTTGGTCAGTTATGCAGCTCCCATGACTGGTTTTCTCCCCAGTCAGTTTGTCCTTAATAAGGACAAGGCGGCTGGTCAAGTGATAATGCATCCATTCTGGAGGATGCATGCAGACGCAGTTTTACGTGGCTTGGAAGTCCAATCACAGAAGCACACACACCAATAAAGTCAGGTATTCCTCCAAATAGCAATGCCAGTTTCTTCAACTCTGCTAAGTAAACATCAACTGTTTCACTATAAACAAAGCATCCTTAATCTGGTTTGTATTGGATTTTTCTTTTTGGCTTAACTGCAGATAGACAGCAAACACTTCTCCAGTCAGTTGAAGGTGCAAACCTGTGAGCAGGTCAATCCTGCAGCACAAATAGAGAGAGAATTAAAAAAAAAAAATGAATTCACTGCAGAGGAAAGAAAAGTAACTCACTCCAACATTGTAAATTGTGGAGTACACAGTTCACCATAGATCACAGCCACTTCCAAACCTCTGTCAACAACTGCTGGCAACAAACTGTTTGCCACTTCAAGTGAATCCTTAAATAAATGTCAAATCCATGAATATTCATTAGCTAATGGTTTTATAAGGCTTATAATCATACACACACTTTCTGTATTGCCAATGAAAACACACACAAGACATCATGTATGTTTAGCTTTAGGTAATTTGACACAGGTCTAGTCTCAGGTAAATTTTGATCAAATTCAATCTTATTGGTTTTACTCTAGTTACAAACTGTTCTGTAGATTATGCAATGTTATTTGATGTGTAGACACACAAACAATAGAATGATACTAGGAAGTGTTCTCTACATGCATTGAGACCACTTACTAGCTACATCCTGTAATAAATAATCCTGTTAACATTTGTTTATATTATCCCAAAGCAATTAATATTCAAAAATTCATTACCAATTCTAGTAGAATTAAATAGCCTTGCTATTTGATAACAATGTATTTTTAATGTTTTAGCATTAGGTAATTTAAAGTTAAATTAGCCAAAAGTTCAGAATAATTTTCCTAACTTCACCTTTGTTTTTTTAAACAAATTTTTGACTTAAATAATAACAAAAAACTGAAAATGAAAAATAGCAAAGTAGAAAGTTACAAGCTAGCTTTTAAAAGTGTGATTTCTTTCCCAAAATTCTCCACAGCATATCCACAAATCCCAATTATAATTTTAAAATGTCATTTCACCAAGGTGATAGCTAAGAAGTTGAATTTAGAAATGTAATTAAAAACTTTCCTTGATCAACAAAAGTAAACTTTTTTAACCATTGACATGTTAAAAGATAGTATGTAAATAAATTTACTAAAAATTAAGATCAGTTTCCCCTCCAGAGTTAGTGTTACCATTAACAGTTTAAGGAACATAGGAAAGTAAGATTGGGTCAATTTTTGAATTTTAGAAATATATGCAACAAAATATAAGAATTTATAAAAACAGTACAATTCAAATGTCATTTTGTTAATAAAAATGGACAAAAAATCTTACCATAAGGACACCATATGACCACCAGTCTGCAGCAGTTCCATGTCCTTTTCTATTTACAACTTCAGGTGCCATATATTCTATTGTGCCACAAAAAGAAAATGTTTTCTTTTCATCAAACAAAGATTCTTTACTTAAGCCAAAATCTGTTAGTTTGATGTGCCCATCAGCATCAAGTAAAATACTGAAAAAAAAAAAAAAAAAAAAAAAGGTTTAAAATTTAATTTACTTATAAAAAAAAAAAAAAAAAAAGAAGAAATTTTATGTCAGAGTACTGTGTACAAAAACATACAATTTTGGCATACTTCTAAAGTGTCTTTATGTTAAAAAGAAAAAATTCTATATGAAAATATTAACATTTATTAGGTATCACAGATGAAAATTTCAAACAGGTACTAGGTGTTATCTGATTGCATCTTCTTAATCTACATGATTAAAGAAACTTAGCAGTTTTTATTTCATCAAAATATCTCAAACCGTTTAATTTTGGCAGATTTCTTTTTATTTTTACACATGTGCTCGACTTAGCCATGTTTTTGTCTATTATGAATTAGGACAAAATACCATATTTGGACTCCTATATTTTAAAAAGCAATTAAGAACAACAGTTAAAATTATACTAGCTTGTTAGGTACATAAAGAAATTAATAAAATTACAGATAGTATCACTGCATATTTTTTCAATAAATTCAGTCTGAATATGCAAATTTTATAAATCAAAACTTCTGCAACAACGTGCAAACAACTCATAACCTGAGGTTTGACATTTCATAAAACTGGAAATAAGACCCACATTCATCCCAAATTTCAAATATCACATTATGACTATACCAGTAACATGCCTATTTTTTGGGGGAGTGATAGAATGGATATATTCTGGATTATTCCACTTCAAAGTTGAAAAAAAATTGCTTTTTAACCTTTTGTCACAAGGTATTTGAAAGATGGATTTTAGACTTGTTTGAATTGTGTCATAAAATGAATACTTCTTACACTAGAAACACCAAATTTCATATCTAGCCATTTCTGGGGTTGCTCTTTCCATTTAACATGGTTAAAATGACCTAAAATCAACATATTAGAATGTATATGGAGCAGATGCTGAGCAAGTACAGTCCTGACTCAACATGTACAATTTCTGGACTGTAGAAAGAGAGAAGCATAACACTCAGTAGTCATCTACAAATTATTGTCTACGTTTTCTTACTGAATTTGAGTTTATTTGCAGTGCAAAAAAAAAAATCGCACTAAATACAATTAGGGATAAAAACATAAATTTAGAGTCGTCCATTCAGCTGAGTAACAAATGAGGAAGCACTAAAATATTTTCTCAACAAACCTATTCCCACATTGGTCCTTAAAACTGAAACATTAAAATATTTTAGAATAAAATAAACAATGATAATCCGTAGGAAATAAATATTACGAAGAAATAATAATAAAGTAGGAAAATGAATATTAAATTATAAATTTGTATCTAGATAGCAATAAATCATAACTAAAATTCATTAGATAATTTAATAATAAGTAAGAAAATTGTTTGAAGAGGTAACTTTAAACAAAATGTAATTGGTAACTGAAATGCTGATAATTATTGTGAGAATACTGCAAAAACATAAGACATTCTAGAATTTTTTTGTAGAATGTTTTTTTTATCTCATTCTTTGAATATGAACATTTTTCGATCAATAAGTCCTACGTTTTTTTTTTGTGATTTGAATCCGAGTGTAAAGTAAACAAATCGATTTTTGTATCATATTTTTTATGATGAAAACAGTTTTTAAATTGCATTTACATTTTACAATTAATTAAAAATTAATATTTAAAACAAATTCCTTGGAAATTTCGTCTATAGAAAACATGCTGGTCGATTCTCTTGTGTCCGTGTTGACGCTGTGTATTGAGTCCCGCGTGGAATTGAAATGATGGCTGAGTGAGTCGTACATGGTTACGCATAATTGTACACACGCAAAATGGAGCTATTGTTTCATTTTTGATTTAGTTTCATAAATTATTAAATGAGCATTTTGATATATTTTTCGTGCTTTTACTTTTACAAGAAGCATTTGAATTTTACGCTAAAACTTTTCATTTGAATTGTTTACAAACTTCTTATTAAAATTAAAAACTAGAAAATATATGAAAATGAAGCTTAGAATGTTAACTTTTGAACTAACGTATTACCAAAATTGTAATAAACCCTGCAGAGTGTGCAAGTAAAAAATGTGAGGAAGTCTAAACTGCCGTCAGTGAAAAAAAATGGCTAAAATTTTGCGAAATCACCAAAATGTCTATTTTCAAACTGTAATGTTCCTTGCACACTGTAGTACATATAAAAATAAATAAGATAGAAACAAAGTTCATGAAATAAGCTTTTATTTGGTATACATTATGTTTTTATGGAGATATTGAATGAAATAACATGGCAAGTTGAATATATGCCTTTTTTTAGTGTTTAGTTAAGCATTTCATTGGCTTTAAGCCGAGTGTTGGGATACCTACATTTACATAAATCTCTTGGAATGTACAATTTTCTGGTATTGCTTTTCATAAGGAGAAATTCTAATTTATTTTGTTTTTAAGATTCTTTGAAATGGTTGTGTATGGTTAAGAATCTTGGCAATTTTCATGAACTGTAGTGTTTTTCAATCATCTCTGTGAAATCTTAGTACAATCAAAACACTGGTAATATATGCAGTAGTTTTTATATGGCATGAGTTTGAATTCCAGTTAGGTTTGTTCACTTGCAAAAAAAATTGTTCTTATAATAAAAAAGTTTCCGTTTTAAATAACCCACAAAGGGTTGATAATTTGTAAAAAATAAAATAAAATAAATTATATATCATAACCCCAGTAGATGAACTCTTCTTAAAGAGACCTGAAATGATGTCCTTCAGTTTGTGATAATTAATGCATATTACTCCATATATCGAGAGACATTGAAGAGGTTCTTTGCTATGATCTCTGCTGAAAAATCCAAGCAAAATGGTGGCCGTCAATTATTGTTAAAAATGTACATAATCACAGGTGTTAGGTAGTGGTCCCACAATTTTAGTGTATAAATTACTGAATTGTGTGTACTTGGTTTGATGAAGTGTGGTGGTGGTGGTGATGAGTTAATGTATTGATTCACTTTGTATGGAAAAATAATTTGGTTGCTATAAAAAAAAAAAAAGGGGGGGGGAAAGAAAGAAAAAAAGTTTGCATCCAATTTTACTTTTAACGTCAAAAACAAAGTGATTAATTCTTGTTTCTTTTTACTATCCTTAATTGTAGGAAGTGAATGAATTCACCATTTGCTGTATCATTTTTGGGGATGTAATTATCATAGCATCAATTATTTGGTTATTTGTATGTAATGTCTTACATTGCGCGCACACACACATATATATATATATATATATATAGCTTCATAACTTGTGTACTCCTGAGGCAGTGTTTTAATGTTCTCTAGTAATGTTAATACTTGATTTCTAGTGCCATCACATTTGATTGGGTGAATATTCATAAAGTTCTACAACATCCCTAAATTTGCACATAAGGAATTTTCTATCAAATGTGTTGATGCAAGTACCATTATCTGCTTGTAGTTTCTAAAGTCCTGGTACTAATTTTGGTCCTAGATCTTGTGGTAAAATGCTTATCACAACTCATTAGCAGTCCCATGACAAGGCCTGGTTGTAGGATTGCTGTGCAACTGTGGACTTGACCAATTCACTTCATATATCAGAGATGAAAAACCAGAATTTAGGTGTCACATAAATTAGACAAGTAGACCTGGTGGAGCCTATCTCTCTCCAGGCCAAACCACAGCTGATGTCCTCTAACTTGAAGGCTTCATTGTGCGTGTGTGTGTGGGGGGATCCTCAACCCTTGCTGTTGACTTAATTCTAGGAAGGCTTCTGTTCTGCTGTGCCATGTTATCACCATACTGGTTGCATACAAAGCAATGTAATCTGGTCTATCTCATTGTACAAGATGGCCATTGACTCTACAAGAAGATTCATCAACCTTTTGATAAGTCTTGTCTTTAATCCTACTGGATGTCTTTCCACCCTTCTCACCAAAGAAGTTTAATGGTGGAACCAGTTTAGTCATCGATGACCTGACCATGTGGCAGGTAGTACTGAGTTACATGATACCAGTAGCACAGAGTGTCTTGACATTGACTAAAAAAAAACAAAAAAAAAACAATATATATCTGATTTCTATCATGAATGTAAAATAGACAACTGTGGATGCATCAACTACAGTTGCCACCACTACTGGATGAAATTGAAATTTTCCAATTTGTTACTGTTGACAAAAGCACAATGCTTCTACAATAAATCTGTAGTGATGTCAACATGTATTTGTGCTTTGTGGTACTACTTTTACTAATAATTCTTTTCTGGTGAAAGTTGTGTCTACTCATCTGCCATCTATCTGTCAATTGTTATGCATATTTAAAGAGATTATACTTCGTTGATTAGTTAAACTTGCTACTGAGGCCTGTAAACTGTTTGATAAAGTGAAAGTGTGTATTAATTTTCCATATATCTTGTAATCCTACTTGTATATGCTAGATTTACATGTTTGTCCTTGATTAGTTCCTAAGAGCAAGGACTGAAAACTGATTAGCCTCTTTTTTGTTATTTTCTTTTTCATTGTTATTTTTTCGATTCACCTCTTTACTCAGACATATTTTATTAATTTGCTCCTTTCTCCCAACCATTTGTTTGTTTTCTTTAAATACAACATTAATGTCCATTTTTATAGCATTAATAAAATTTTGTACCCTTCCCATAGATTATTAAAGAACAAAACTTAAATATATATGTTCAAGTGAGGGTATTGAATGTATTTCAGTAAATACTTGTATATATCTAACATACATACAAGATTGGATGCAAGGTGCTGCTGATTGTATGTCATATGTCAAAGCCATATTAAATATTCCTCTTGTTGGCATGAATACTGCTGCAGATGGTGATTTATTATTTCAAAATGTTTAGAACTGTAAATAAGCTTATCTGCCAGACATTGTATCAATTTGGATTTTACATCTATAACCATAAAGCCTTTCTTACTGCAAGTTTAAACTAAACATGATTGTAGAAAAATACTTACTTTTCTGGTTTTAAATCTCTGTACACTATTCCAAGCCCATGCAAGTGATCAAGGGCTAAAGCTAATTCAGCAAGGTAAAATTTTACATCCTCCTCAGTGAACATAACCTGCAACAATAAAAATAACATTTATAATGGATTAGTATAAAAAATATTAGAACAAATTTGTTTTGTTATGGAAAGTTGCAAATAGAATACCAATATCTTACTTATTATAAAACGCAGATTGTGTGTGTGTCTGTAACGTTTATATATTGGATCGGATTTCCTACATTTTTCAACTGATTTCAACAAAACTTCACAGGACTACATAAAATTACCTTGTGGTGGTTCTAACAGTGCCAAAAATGGGAAAAATATAATTGTTTTTGCACAAAATCAATTTGAAAACACGATTAAGAGACATCGTGAAAATGGAAGGGAGACAACTCACATCGGATTTCCTATATTTTTCAGCCGATAAAACAAAACTTCACTTTTTTTTTTTTTTTTTTTTGGCAGGTAGTGTTTCTTATTCTCTTGCACACTTTTTTCTTTATTTTTAACATTCAGAATGCTTTAAAAATTCCATTTACGAGACAATTATTTATAATAAAATTCTATTCAATTGGGAGACTCATAACGATTGAAAACAATGTTTTTGTTTGAGTTTGACCAATTCGTAAAAAATAAAAACTAATTAAGACATGCGTGTCCGTCAACCTTAAACAATAATCTAACGATCTCTACTGATTGTACGAATACAAACATCGGATAAATTCTTTATCTTTAGGGAAAGATAATGAAATCTAAACATACACAAGTCCTAACTAAAAATAATAACCTGAATGGGAAACTACTTTAAATACACATGGTGTCCAATTTTTTTACTGTATTCAATAAGTAAAAATCATAAATTGTAAAAGATTATTATTACAGAAAGGCTACTAAATGAATAAGATTTGCTAGATCATAATTAATAAACCCAAATAAAGTTAATATTTTTTGTATTAGAAACAACGAGTGGAAAATATATTCAAATCAGAATTCTAATTATGAATCACCACAAGCAAAATATGCAATTTTTTTTTTTTTACTGTATTCAATAAGTAAAAATCATAAATTGTAAAACTAAAAGATTACAGAAAGGCTACCTACATTTTTCAACCGATTTTAACAAAACTTCACTTTTTTTTGGCATGTAGTGTTTCTTATTGTCTTGCACACTTTTTTCTTTATTTTTACATTCAGAATGCTTTAAAAATTCCATTTACAAGAATTGTTTATAAAATTATTCTATTCAATCGGGAGACTCATAACGATTGAAAACAATGTTTTTATTTGAGTTTGACCAATTCGTAAAAAAAAAAAACTAATTAAGACATGCGTGTCCGTCAACCTTAAGCAATAATCTTTGTCAATTTTATTTTTCAGTCTTTATGATGATGGATACTTGATCGATCTCTTACTGTTATATCCCCGGGCAACACCGGGCTCTACTGCTAGTAAATTGATATAACTGACCTTACATTTCAGCATACACACATAAAATCTCAAATACCATGTTTAATTAAGTAATTAATCATTTATACATACAAGCTGAGCAAGCTGTTTACATTTTTGCTTTTTGAAAATTCTGATATTGTCATTGAGAAAAATATGCAGATTTTTAAAAGCATACAGACACTCCCTTTAAGCTGCAGAATTGTAATATTACAGGAAAATTTTAGAATAAAGTTTTAAAACCATTTTTAAATATTTTTTTGTAAAATATTGCATAATCTGCACTCTTTAAAAGAACTTAGTAGAAAACAAGTTTTTAAAAACAATCCAAAATGTTTTTGAACACAAGATCAGGTATGCCACTTTATTTTTATTAAGATATAGTCCATCAAGAGAAAGTGTTGATTGTGAAAGTATGTCATTTTAGTGTGCGTGTATATACATATACACACACACTTTAATTTAAACAGTAATAATTAAAGATTACAAAAGGAATGATATCCAAAAATATATATTTTTAAAGTTAATATTATAGACATATTTTTGTTTATTTTGAGTAAATTTTTTTTTTTTTTTTTTGGGTAAAATTTAGATTTAAGCAATTTTTGGGGGTGGGTGATTTAATATATTGGTTTAAGAAGAGAGGATTTGTAGAAGGACTTTTATTATTTTATTTCTTCTAAGTGTTGTATTATATTTGTTGGGTTGGTGTTGTTGAATAGGTCTTAAGTTATTTGTCTCGTAATAATTTGATTGAACTAAAAGCTCACTAATGTGTTTTGCATTGTCAAGCTCTTAACACAGTGCATCATGGGGAAAGGGGGATTGGAAGAAGGAAGGAATAATGTAGATAGTCACTGATCAGATCCAGAACTCTCACCAATCAAGATGAACAAATATTCTCTCAGGGAGGCTGTAAGCCTTGAGCACTTACTGGGACTTAACCCAGACCATAAGTGAAACTGTATATATGATCCAAAACTAAAGATGCTGAGAAAAAACAAAAGAAGGTTGGTTTCCTGTACCACTCCAGTAAGTACCTAACTCTTCATGTTATCCTCTACCTTTAAAAGAATCAGATCATGTCAAAAATGGAGTACTGCTGCTATATATGGGCAGGAGCTGCCCAGCTTTCTAGCAGACAAAATGCTGCCCTGCCACTATTTCCATGCAAAGTGTTCAGACAAACTACATTTCTTAGTTCCACCAGTTCTAGCCTTCATGGCTAAGATCTCCCATGCCACACACATTGTAGTGAACCACCCTCATTCCCTTTGTTTTCTATTAGTGAGATGTAAGAGGATGCTTCCCCCAGTCATTACAATCTTAACCTGTTCAAGTCTAGGGCTAAGCATTATTTTGCTCCTGTATCCATATAACTTTCATGGCTCCCAAGTTTTGTACAGTGTGTATGTGCAGTTACTTGGAGAGTTGTTTGAGAATTTAGGTTTCACAATCTTTGTCTGAAGTTTGCAAAAGCGTGAAACCTAAGATCACAAGCAACCGCATATTTTAGCTCTATCATGGATATTGAGCAATTCCCACTAAATACTCTGTGTGTGTGTGTGTGTATATATATATATATATATATATATATATATATATATATATATATATAGTGGAGTCTAGCTAGAACTTATCTGTAACCTGTATGACATTCACAAATGTTTGCTTTGATATTGTAAAGTTAGTAACTACTGCAGTTATTCTAGAACCTCTGTCACTTGTGAAATTTATAACCCTTTTCAGATCAGTATGTGGGATTTGGAGTCTTGTGCAGATTTATCAAGATTTTTTTTTTCAGCTCAATACACTTTTTCATTTCTGTGAATGCCAATACAGCTTTGTAGCTAACACAGGATGATAGTTTTGTTTTTATGAATAGTATCAATCCTGTTTAGCAACTGCTTGATTCTGGAAAAGCAGTAATCTTAGATAGTGCAATCATAATCCACTTTCAACCTCACAAGAGATCTGTGGAGACAGAATAATACTGCCTGATCTCTCCCCTATCCATTTCCAAATAACAATATGGGATTTGAAATGCATTATCAAAAAGGGATATTGTAATTATTTGAAGTTGAGGGTCAAGGTGAAGTGCTATTTTCTTACAGAAATGTACACAAAGTCTTGGATTTAGAAAAGCAGAAGCCTTTCTCAGTGGACTATTGTTCAATTTTATTAAGGCAGTTTTGCATGCCTTTCTATTATTGATATATACATGAAAAGTCAACGGCAAATAGGGATCTATCAAATCCAGCATTAACAACCATAGCAATGCTATATCTGTTGTTCAAACAACACAGTTCCAATTTAAATTTTGAAAATACAGTCAGATAATTTCTGAATAAATAATGATTCTGCTTCTCAAACAAAGACTATAGATCTTTTTGGATGTCATACTTCCAGATACTGTCATAGGCTGTGTGTGTGTGTGTGAGATAACAAACAGCACAATTTTTATGTATTAGACCTTCTCAAATTGAAGTAAAACTATTTGATTCATTGTACTTCAATTTTGTCAGAATCTGCTTTGGTACTTAGATATTTATTTATTTCCAAGTTTTATTGTCATCTGTATTATTTGATATGAAATTAAAATTTTTTGCTTCTCTATTTTGTTCAAATTTTCAAAAATGACTCCATGACAATAGCTTAAGGGTTCTTTCTACATTTGTCTGCTAACAAATAACCTTTACATCATTTTTATTTTTTATAAAAATATTTGGTTTTATTAATTCTGTTTAGGTGTAGAGTGGTGGTAGCGACCCCCCCCCACATTTTTTTGATCATTTTTCCATTCTTCCTTTTTGGTGTTCAGGTGGTAATTTTAAAAATGTATTGTTTCTAGGATTCTTGTTCATTATTTAAATATAAATCTTTACATGAGTTTTTTTTTTTTTTAATAGTATAGTATGTATGTTAGTTGGTGGTTGGTTTCTACATTTTCATATACTTTTTTTTTTTTTTTTCATATTTAATGGCTTCCTTACATTTTACACCAAACCGGGTTTTAGATGTGCTAATTAGATTATTTGTGTTATACAAACTAGTTGGTTTGTGAAAAAGGTCAATGGGCCCTGATTAGTATTAGGCAGTATCAGTAAATGCAAGCCAGGCAGCTCTGTAGAGTTGCCACTTTAGAATTCCTGTCTGGTATTGGTTTGTTGATATCAATTAACCCTACATTGATCATTATGGTTTGTCTATGAGTGGGAAATAAATTAAGTCTTTAATCAATAATTAACCTGTAGATGGATGAAGATATGCATATGATTTATATCATTAAAAAGACAAAAATTAAATGTTTCCAATAGAGATTTGATGGTGCAGCCTGGATCATTAGAATAATTACAGACCTAGAGAGTACTGTGAACATTAAAATTATCTAATGGAAGAAATGGGGCAGAAAGTTAATCAGTTCATCTATCTTGATTTGTTTCAATTCATATTTTGGAGTGATATCAACTGAACATATTGTTATTGTTAACAGTTTTTTTTTGTTTGTTTTTTTTTAACATAAAGCTTCTACTGCACTGTGTCAACTCTCTTCCCAATTGTCATTTTAGTCTTTAGTAGCAGATATAGAGCAGGTAAAATCTTGTTTGGATTCACTTGCTTGTGATTTGGCTTTGTTCTTTGAGAGTCAATCTATATCAATAGAAGAAGCATACTTTCCTGAGAGATTTCTGGATAAATTTCTGCTACAAGAATACTAATTAGCTTTCATTTTTGTGTGTTCTATCTCATCTATTTGGTCTTTATTATCAACCTCTACAATTACAGGCCATCAAATTTTTTGTATTTGGTATACAATCAGTTTTTTTCTTTTTGGTCATGATTTGTAATTTGAATACAATGTTTGTCCCTGTGTTAGAGATTTTTGATTTGTAAAGGTGTTAGGCTCTGGTCATTCTCTAAGTATAGTAGCTGGAGCACCTCCAGGTCCATTTCACTTTATCCTCTGATCATTGTCCATGGTGGAACTACTGTTTATAGTTCTTTATGAGTAGAGAGTTCCATTTCGCAGAAATTAACAGCAAACTTTGTCAAAGTTACCTTGTTTTGGGTTTCTTTTTGTGGATAGATTCTATGGGAGTGGCAGATTTTTTTTTGAAGCGGGTGTAAACAGAACTGGTTTCAGTTCAGTTATAAACCTTGGTCAATCTGCTGATCTGAGTTGTAATAGTCTCTCCATTTTATATTGTCACCATTCATATCTGCTGTAGCCACTGACCTTTTCATCACATGGGTTTTAACATGGCAGTTTATACAATTTCTTGAGTATATGGGAATGGTATGTTTTGTTTGCACTATTTATTTTTCCTTCTTGCATGTTTATGATTTTCTGGCATTTGCTGGGTGGTTCCACCACAATTTTCATGCTTGATATCTCTGCTACACCCATCATCAAGATGGTCTGGGCCTTTGAGTCCACATTTTTTTGCATGCTGGTCATCTTTTGCATACATCTTCATGGTATCCAAGTTTCTCACAATTATAACACTGTAACCAGTTAGGAGACCATTCTACATTGTCACTAAAGTATCTAAATGTTAGTTTTTTTCAGAAATATGGAGTGTTGAAAATTAAGATACAATTATTTGTCTGCATCTGTCTGTTGTCTTTTAATGCTTATTCTTTTTTGTATCTGTTACATGTTGATTTTATCTGAAGTGCAGAGAGATAGTTCAAGGTTCCTCACAATGTCTGATGTGTTCATATCTACATTTTTGTTTGATGGAATATTTTTAATAATTATACTGTATATTTTTTAATTTTTTTTTTTAAACTTCTATTTCTCTTTTTGTATTTTTACTACTTTGGGGGCCCCAAATCGGGACATATAATTCTAGTAAAAAAAGAAAAAAAAAAGTTTTGTCAATGAAGTGTCCTCCATTGATTTCAAGGTGATAATATTTGGAAATACATTTAAAAATTGCTCATGATCACTTAGATAAGATTCTTGAGTAGTCTCTGATTACACCCCACTTTGGCTTGATATAACCAGCCTGTTAATAACATTGTCTGTTTCTAGCAAGAGTCAATGTGAAGTGCTGCAAATCACACAACCAGTATTATGGTTTGTTCTGCCACCAGAATCCTGTTCTAAGGTATCACCAATTGATACCCACTGCCAGGTGTTCTTTTTTTTGGTGGTGGTGGGCTCATATCCCTCTGTAAGAGATGCAGTCAGCATATTCTTGGCCCTATTGACAGGGTTGAAGTTTCAAGTAGACTTCAAAATTTCAAACAAGACAGATGTAAAAGAGTATTTTAGTTATAAGAAATATTTTATAGCACTGTTAGCATAATGAGAAGAGTTGCAATTTGTAGCTGGAAACTAACACTATTCTTAAAAATTTTTTAAGGATATATTAAAAACAAAATAAGCCTTATGTTAGCTACAAACATACTAATCAAAAACTATTTGAAAAAGAATTTGGTAATAAGTTATGGTGTTAGTATCTAACCTCATATGAAACAATACTAGAAAACATGTATACTTACTTCTTTAGACAATCTAGTAAAAAGGTCACCGCCTCTCAAAAACTCTAATATAAGGTACAATTTACCTTCAGTTTGAAAGGCTAAAAATATATAAAAAATAAATGAAAAAAGATAAAAATATTTAAATAAACATTTAATGAAAAAAATTATCAAGAGAAAAATTGTACATAATTTTAACTAGAATCTACCAAAATACAATTAGTGCTATAACTTAAAAAAAAAGTCTCCAATGATATAAAACTCTACTAGTTTCATGCAAGCAGACTATATTCTTAATTTATTAAATTCACTCAATAATTTCAAAGTTATAATTTGTAATAATATACAAAAGATAATTCCTTGTACAACAACAGAAATGTCATCTAAGTTAGAAGTCTTAAAAGATTTAAACTATAAAAAAAAAAAACTCTAAGATTATGAATTTATAACCAATTCGATGACAAAACTTATTTTTAGTCGTTTTTCAGGACAGTAAATTTAACACATACATGAAGTTTGAAAACTTTCATTAATGACAAATGAAAAAAAAAAAAAAAAAAATCAGGCAAAAATGAAGTGAGATTTTTATCAGTATATTTAAGTACATAGAGTGTATAAGTAAAAATGAGGCTTTACCATAATGCAGTTTGACAATAAAAGGATGGTTTACATCAGCAAGAATATCTCTTTCCATTTTTGTCCTTTGCCTATCACGGACTGAAAACAAATGAAACAGGAAGTTTTTTTAGACAACACAAACATGAAAATGACAAGTGTTTGCATGTAGTCTTTATACAAAGATAAATTTATTATATTTTGTGGAATATAGGACACCTTAAATTTAGCATGAAATATTTTGAAATAAATTTTCTAGAGCCAGTCCCAGATTCTATTGGGGATTTTGAAAGATTTAAAAAAAAAAAAAAAAAAAAAAAAAAAAAAAATGTATATTTTATATGCAAAAATGTAATTAAAAAAAAAAAAAAAACAAACTGTTTTCTTCCTCCTATTACTAACAATAATTTCTACACTGCTTTGTCCCTTTTCAGTAGGATAACTGTAGAAAAAAGAAGAGAAAAAAAAAACAAAAAAGTGACGAGAGGGTTTGTCGGTAAACCAGCTGTTCTTCTTCGCAGTCGGTCGCCTCAAAGAAATGAATTGCGGGACTCCTTTTCTCGGCCATTACACCGGGCAGTCGTGAAACGGACACCCAAATCAGATGCGCCTACTTCAACAGCCTCCTGGTCTGCCAGTCTATTCGCATGCCCTACTCTGTTTCACGAAGTCCATCGAATGATTTACTGTGCCGCTGGCGCCTCGCCTTTTTTATGCTAGTCCGACACTGCTGAAATTTGCATGTGTACTGGTATAATCTCGTTTTGAACGAGACTGGCGTGTATAAATTGCGTCTTCGACAGCTGCCATTTTTCTCTCGGATTTATCATCCAAGCAAGACACGTTCGCACATGTTTCGAGCTCCAGGGTAAGTCATCACACCCCTCCCTGATCTCATGATCACAAAGGTGGCAGCCTGGTGGCAGTTGTTTTCAATGGGTGCTTCTTCATAAAGGCAGGGCTGGGGCTCTGATCTTGCTCCCCCTTCGGGTGGATTGTCAGAGGGGGGCTCTGCTTCTATTCCCTCTTCAGGTGGATCAACGCATTCCACACTTTCTTTGTCGAGCAGCAAACTTTCCGCCCTGCTCTCAGATGTGTCGTCGGAATCTTGCTTGGATGTGCCGTAACCATGACGCAGGCGTAGATCCTTAATGTGGTGGGGGTATTCCGTCCACCAGAAATGACTGCGGGCTGATCATTTTTGTCACCCCGACCCCTGTTGAACCTGGTGGTGCACCAACTTATTGGCGCCTTGACCCACATGCGATCTCCGACCTGGTAGGAGCCATGTCCACGGTCTAAAGACATCGTTAGGGCGTCAATCCCTTTCACTCTCAGTTCATATCGGTAGATCCTGTTGGCGGGCGCAGTCTGGGGCGATGTACTGTTTTTTGGTGTGATGTTGTACCAGTAGACAGCTTCCTGTACGGAACAGCACTTTCTGGCTGCAATTCATTTTACTGTGCGGTGGCATCACTCCGCTATACCATTCCCAGCTGGGGCATATGCACAGTGGAATCGCAAGTTGACTCCCCACTCGCATGCAAAAGCTCTGAATTCCCAGCTGCAGAAAGCTGGGTCGTTGTCCGTGAGTAGCTCATGGGGTGGGCCCCACTCGAGGAACACTTCTTTCCGCTGGCGAATGGTGGCCGCCGAGTCTTGTCTTGCCAACTGCTTCCAGATTGAAAAACGCGACGGGCCGCAGTCCGTCAGCATTATGAAATGATGGGCACCATAGTGGGTGAAATCCATCCCCAGTCTCTGCCAGTTTCCGCTTACCTCAAGCTTTCCTTTTTTCCAGCAAGTTGGTGCGGGGTCTATGGACTGACATTCCTCGCATGTCCGTATACCTATTCTAACGGCTGCTTTTGTCATTGACAGGCAGACTCTCCTGGTGAAGTAGGTGGTACGCCGCACTCCTGGGTGACCACTGTTCCTATGGATGGACATGATTTGATCCGCGTCTAGTTAGTCCACATGGGTGGCGCCAATCATTGGCCTGGGTCCATTACATGTCTTCATTGCGTCAAACCATCGCTGCGGTACTCTTGTCAGTCCATCAGCTATATTCAGAGCTGAAGGGACCAGTGACATGAGCTCCTTAAGAGTGCTCAACCGCCTCCTGATAAGCATTTCGTTTGCCGCCTTGGTGTGCACTCGTGCTCTCCCAGTCAGAGTATCCAATACCCAATGGTACACGCAAACGGAATCTGTTTTTAGGTGTAACGTCTTGCTCTGCCACTGGAGTGCTAGATTGATGCCTTTCAACACGGCATCCAGCTTGGCCAAGTTGATGTGCTGAGCGTCATTTTTAGGTCTTGTGGCTCTCTAACGCTACTTCGGTTGCCAGGGAACTTGCATCGACCCACACATTCAGCTCCTGGGCATCCACACACCACTCCCCATGGGCTGGATCATCCCGCTGCACAGAATCCATGGTCTCAGACACCATGCGCCAGAGAAGGGCATCTTTTGTTTCATCGTCCCAGCCCTTCGTAACTGTACTTGCTCTCCTCTTGAGCATTCAACATGCCACATGGAGCCAACCACACACTGGGAGGTGCCCAACAAGCCTTCCACACAGAGAGAACACCTTCCGTCGCATAACGACATTGCGGGCGCTAGGAACCATGCTTCCTCGTCTTCACTGCAATCTTCCTTGTTCCATTGCGACCACCAATCCTAGTACCTGTGCGCCATCCTCCAACCGTTCTGGGTCTTTGCATTCCAGCCCAAATGGGGCCTGATGTTTTTTTAACGAGGGTCGCGGGAACGACATCTTCATTTGATATAGATGTCATCAATGTAGGCAGATGCCGCACGATGCACAGCTTCTTCCTGAGCCAGCTCTGTACTGATGATCGCCTTCATGACGAGGGGGCCACGTCTAATCCAAATCCTAAATGTGTCAGGCAATATTTTCTCCCATCAATTTTCACAGTCTGGCATGGCCAGAGTGACTTGTGGACACGTATTTGGAGGTACGCTCTCCTGAGATCCAACAAGGACACGTTGGATCCCTTTTGCTGCCATTCGTGCAGTTTAGCTGTACAGACATCTGCATCGGCTGCGAAAGTGTCAATGTGATGGTTAAGCTCCTGGAAGTCCATCACCGGGCGTACCTTCGACTTGTTCTGCTGTAGTACGGCCATCAGGGGAATTAACCCCTTGGGAGACCCCAGTTTTTCTTCTGGGTATGGTACGAGCCAGCCACTGCTGATCCATGTGCAGAGCTCCTGTTCATAGTCCTCCCTGATTTCTGCTGCTACCGGGTACTTGGAAACCCCATTGTGCAGTCTTTCAGGCGCGTAGTTCTCCGACCACTTCCATGCCACAGTCCAGGATCGCCTCTGGTGGTCGAAGGTGGCAGTGAAGTCGGGTTCATTCACAGTAATGGCTGCGCATTTGGCTACTCGCCCATTGCCAATCTGTGCTCGTCCGCATTGATAGCAGCGTGTTCCGTGCTTCTGGCAGTCTTTTGACATGTGGCCTTTAACGCTACACTTGTAGCATGTCACACTGGTGCCTGGGCCGCTCTTGGTGGGAGACGTGCCGACACTACGGGGTGGGCGCACAGCCGCAACAACGTTCTGACTTTCATCTCCGGTAGTTGTCAGCAATCTCGCTCTTGCTAACAACTCCCCTACAGTCAGTGCTTCAACGTTCGTTGCCTGTCGGAGTTCGAGGGAGATCGCATCAGGAAAACCCATGACGAAGGCTAGTTTGGTGAGCCTTTCCATCTCGGCTCCCTCGAATCTGGCCAATTGAACAAACTGTCCAACTTTATTTGCGTAAACGTCTATGCGCTCACTGGTCCACCTGACCAGGTTCAGTTTTCTATATGCTGAACACTCGCGTCCGCGAATGCCTGTTTCAGTCTGGCTTCGATTTGATCGATGTCTCCTTGCTCTTCCTCCTCCATCTCCATGTAGAGGGCTAGTGCATCCCCCTCCAGGTATAATGGTAGCAGACTAGCCACATCGTCCACCTGCTGAAGTCTCGCCACCAGCCTAACCTTTTTCAGCCATGCTACCACATCGCCCTGGCCGGAAAACGGTTTTATAATGTCAATGCTTATGCAGACCTTCGCCATAATCCGACGAAATAGCTTGTAGAAAAAAGAAGAGAGAAAAAACAATAAAGTGATGAGAGGGTTCACCGGCAAACCAGCTGTTCTTCGCTGTCGGTTGCCTCAAAGAAATGAATTGTGATACTCCTTTTCTCGGCAGTTACACCGGGCAGTCGTGAAACGAACACCCAAATCAGGCGCGCATACTTCAACCACCTCTTAGTCAGCCAGTCTATTAGCATGTCCGACTGTTTCATGAAGTCCGCCAAATGACTCGCCGTCTGCTGTGCCGCTGGCGCCTCACCTTTTTTATGCTAGTCCGACACTGCTGAAATTTGCATGTATACTAGTACAATCTCGTTTTGGACGAGACCAGCGCATATAAATCGCGTCTTCGACAGCGGCCATGTTTTCTCTCGTATTTATCATGCAAGCAAGACACGTTCGCACACGTTTCGAGATCCGAGGTAAGTCATCACAATGACACAAATATTGATGCAACTGATTTGTTGACTCCATTTTATAAGCTTCACTGTGTTAGATAGCAATTTTTAAGTGTTTATCAAGTACAAAGAAAAAAAAAAGAAAAAAAAAAAAAAATTTAACATGGCAAAATGATTAGGAAATAAATATGCAAGTGAGACAGCATGTTAAAAATTGATTTGTACAATATGTCCAGCCCAGGAATTTAACTCAAAATTACTATGTCACTAAATTCACAAACCAATACTTTAATCCATTAGGTTAATCCATGACAGTCATTGTGTGTTCAGTCCCCAAGATGAACAGTATAGACTTAGTGGAAACTGAGCAAGCAATAACTGAACAGTACTAAATAAGAACTAGATAAGATATCCCTAGACATAGTCATCAAAATGGGAACAATCTATGCCTATAGATTAAATAATTGAAATTTATTGAAGGTTACCTGAAGTGACAAGTACCTGTTAAAAGCTGGAGGGCACAACAGCCAAAATCTTGTGATAACAAAAATGAGGATATTAGTCAAAATGTAAATGATAACTCCTCATCCCAGAAATCCAGACAAAAGTTATAGCTGATTTTCTTAATATTCTTATTTCATAAATACTTATTGGTAGCAAGCTTCCCATAGTCTTAAAAATTATGATCAAACTTTTTCAGAAATTTATCAATGCACAATTATTAAATTTTTAATTTTCGTGCCCTTTCCTGCAAACAAAGAAAATGAATTATCTTAATTCTTAAAATAATAGTTTGTCATTACTTGATCTGTTCAATGAAGTAAAATCAAACTTATAGCCAAGAGTTTACTAAGATATTAACATTCTAAAACAAGAAAAAGAAAATGTTTTAAAAATTCCCTTTCTTCACAGAAAAGATTTACATATATAACTTAAGTCTTTAATTCAGATATTTAAAAAATTAATAATTACCTTTTAATGTAGCTTTCTTCAATACTTTCATAGCATATAATGTTCCTTCATCAGCTCCACTAATTTTTCTAACTAAAAATACCTGTGAATTAAACAGGAGAAAAATAAGTGAGACAAATGTGTTGACAAAAACAAAGTCAAAATTTAAACAGGACACCAGCAAGGAAAGTAGAAGTTGTCATTAAAATGAAATATCTTAATAGATTAAAAAAAATTCTACATTTTAAAGAACATATTCAAGTTTATGCATGAAGAGATTTCTTAAGTATGCTTTCATAATAAATTTTCTTTTTGATAATATTGCTTAAAATTCCTTCAACTTGAAAGATAGATCATTTGTAAGTAGATTCATTTCTTCACAATTTTGTTGACACATTATTTTCTATTAATTCTTTGCAAATTTCAAAATGTCAAATCTGAAATACTATTATTCATTTCAAATCTTTGACCTATGATTATCTATTGCATAGAGAAGAAAAACAAAATCAAAAGCAAATGAATATAAGTATACAATATCTTTTTCTCTAGTTGTCAATTTGAAAAAGAAATATGAATAAAAAGTTAACTGCAAAGAACAACAGGAATAAAATATACTTATGTGGAGTAGATGTGTTCTAGTCAAAATCCATGTTTATTCCATTTTACCAGAGATATAGAACTTACTGTCTACCATCAGGTTTCTTTTTTTTTTTTATCATTATATCTCAAACAAAGCAATAGCACCACTAAAATGCAAGGGGTTATTGAGTTTGAAAGAAATTGAGAGTAAGAAAAACATTAAGGAGAGAGAACAATAAAAAAACAAGAATTAAGAAAACAGAAGATAATGATTGAAATGGCATTTAAATTTTGAAGATCAAAGTTGACTGGAAAGCAAGAAGCTGGAAAAGAGTTCCACAAGTGAGAAAAGAAACTGTTAGTATTGGACTTATGGTTACAACTAGCAATTTCAATTGTAAAATGAAGAGATCTAGCTGCCAACCTAGTACTGAACTTAAATTCATAAAGTCAAAGTACCAAAGAGGAAAACTCATACAAACAATTACCAAAAAATTAATTATAGAAAAGGCATAGGGAATCTACATTATAGTAGTGGGAAAGTGACTAAAACCGAGATGCCAGGTCATGACCAATAACAGTACAGACTCCTTGGATTTTTTCTAGAATCTCTAAATAATTAGAAGCACCAGACGTGACATGAACATTGCCTGGATGAATGGTAGACTTATAAATGTGCAAGATATATTCTAGCAAGAAACATTCTCTACCACCATACAATGAACAAAGTTTTCTAGCAGAAGACCTGGCAATTGATTCAATATAATCTTTCCAGTTCATTTAAGTGAAAAACTTTAATCCAAAAAGGTACAATGAGCCACTCTCCTGGAGGTTAGCGTCAGGCAGGCTAAAAGGTAAAAAAAAAAAAAAAAAAAAAAAAAAAAAAGTTCTCTAAGAAAATTAAAGAAAGCAGTTTCATATTAACTTCCAGTGCCTTACATCAGGCCTGTACAAAATATGTCCCTCAGTGTGGCCTGCAAGTGATTTTCAAAATAGTAATTTTTTTGTGTTCAGAATAAATTTGGTAACTGATCATGTATGAAGATTAAGTTTTGTGGATGTATGAATTTATTCAACCAATATTTCACTGTATCTAACATAACAAAAAAAGTTTTCATACCAACCCTACCACTATCTCAGTCATACTAAAATTCTTATTCATTGGTTTCAACCTGACTAGTTGAAACAGTTTCAAGTTTGCAACATTGTAGTAATGTGAAGAAACCCTCTTCAAAGTCCCATATCAGTGATGAAAATGGGTGGGTAGTGTATGCAGAGCTGATATTCTTCTGTCCTCCATTTGAAGAAAGAGAGTGTGTGCGTGTGTGGGGGGATTAGAGTTTGAAAAAATCCAACTTCATAAAAGTATCTCAGTAAATCACGAATGTTAATTGCCGGCGAGGACAAAAGACTGAAAAAGCTGTCATATTTTCCAACATCACTTTGTTGCTGTCAAAAGTAGGTCAGGTAAGGTCATTGGCATACAATGATCCAACCAATTCTTTTGTTGGCAGAGCATTTTGCATGATAGCAAACTGAAAAATTTGGCTTGAGCTATTACTAAACTGCAGATAGGAAACCAGATGGAAAATGTAAAGATTACCTGTATTTATCTGTATATATAAGGATACGTTTGTCTGTTATCTAAAGAAATCTACATGTCAAGAGTTACAATCTTCCTAAAAGCATCATCATAATGAAGACCATTTGATAACTGACAATTGTCTAATTTTTTTATCACAAGTTTAGACCAACTCCACAATATCTGATGAATTTCTTTTGTCAGTTACCAATTCAAAATCATTCATCACCTGTTCTCCATATTGTCACACCTTTTTCTCTCAGCCTTTGTCCCTCCCATTTCATTTTCAAAAGGACTGGTGGTAGAATAAGGTAGAGTAGGGCACACAAAAGCTTGTTTTTGAATTTAAGTGTAAATTTTTCCATAAAATCTAATGTTATTTGCTTTTCATTTACTGTAGTATTTAATGACAAAATTTGCATCTGATAAGTAGTGTTAATTTTTTTTGCAATTAAAGCTGAAGGCAAGTGAACCTTTAAGTGAGCTTTTATTTACTAGAAATGGATGAAAGCACAGACAGCCAAGATATGGCTCAGCAGCTTCTTTTTATTAGAGGAGTGGATAAAAATTTTGACGTGAATGAAGAACTTGCTGGCATGCAGTCTTTGAATGGCCATGCAACTGGACAGGATATTTTTAATGAAATAAGAAAATGTTTTAAATTAAAATTTGAAAATGATTTTATAAATTTAGTATGTCTGTGTGGATTGTGCTCCCATGTGTGGAAAAATAATGATCTGTTTCTCTTCTATAATAATTCTCTGGAAGACAAATATTCACCCAATACAGCATCAGCAGGTTTTTGTACAGAAAAATTATGACCTGCAATCATGTTTTCAGCTACAGTTTTCATTGTAAACTATCTTTGTCCTGGAGAACTTAGTCTGTTCAAAGCTTTTCTTGAAGAGTTAGGTGTCAAATACAGTGATTTGGTATATCCTACAAAAGTGAAATTGTTAAGTAGAGAAAGAATGTGACAATTTGTAGCTCTGAAAGAGAAATATCTCAATCTCTATGAAATGAACAAAAAAGTTTGAAGAACTTGAAAATGAAATCATCACCACCTACAAATCATCAGAATGATTTTAATAGTAAACTTTAGGAAAACAATTTCTACTGATCCAAAAGTAGTAACCACAAAATTTCAATTGGAGATGATTGAACTTTAATCTTTCTCTATTTACAAAAAACAAAGCATAGAGAAAGCAACTTGCAAAACTTTTAAGTTTGGACAAGAATAAATATTAAAATATCATCCAACTTGCAATGAAAATATTCAGCATTTTTGAAAGCATCTACATTTGTGAACTATCATATTTTTACAGCTCACATGATCTGACAACATGTCATGCAACGTTGATGAATGAATCTAAATTACTTAAAAAAATACATGGCACCACATCACATGACCTGTAAAATAGGATTATGTTTTTATGTAGAGTTATAAATCTTTGAATATTAAATGTTAGAAAATCTATTAAAAATATTTCATAACCAGGAGTCAATACTAAGAAGTGTTTGTGAAAATATCAAATACTAAATGTAAACCTTTTTTTACCCTACTGAAGAGCAGTCATTACCAAAAACAATGCACAATGTTTTTGATAAGGTGCATTGATGCATTAGTACCATTTATTCAATCAGTTACTTACTATAAAAATTTAATCTTGCAGCCTATTGTTTATTTTTCTGCAGTCAATGCAGCTCTTCATTTTTTTAGTTATACATAGTTTATTTTTTCTCTAGCTATCGAAATTCATTCTGCATTCATGTTGTAATTGTTTTGGTTCATCAATTTATAAAATAATTAATTCTGAATAACACTATGCACAAACTTTTTTCTCTTAAGTAATTCCTGTTCAGGTGAGAAATCAATTTCTTTCATCTTAGATTCTGATAAATTCATTTATTGTTATGAACTACTTGTCCAAAAAATAGTTTTCTGTATTAAGCCAGAAAATACAGACAAGTTCACGTGTGTAATCTACTTTCCTAGTTTCTGAACTTTTTCCAAGATTTGTAAATAATATATTACTACTTACCAAGTCAGCTAATATTTTTGCAACATGTACTGCAGCTTCCTTTAGAAATTTCTCCAATTCATCAATTATGTTTGAAGATCTATGGGATCAGTCCATCTTAAACAATGGCCATAGTTGACCCTCTCAGAAAAATCTGGGAAAATTCACAGGTCTTCCTTGATCAAATTTATTAATAAATCCCAGATATTAGATCTGTATTTTTAACAGTTTTAAAATCAACAAAGTTGTTCTAAAAAAAATGTTTTAAAAAGAAAAGTTTGTCGACAAAACAAAACTTTTACAAGTAAGAATATGTGGTAAAAACAAAAATTTTTTTAAATTGCCTAAGTGGTTTGCTGATGTGAAAAATTTAAGACTTTTCAGGGTTCCCACAGATCTGTGTAAAAGAATTCCAGGACTTTTCCAGTACTATCTTAAGAAGTTTAAAGGTCTGAAACTGACATACATACACAGAGAGAATGGTCATTAATTTAAAAAACAAACTTTTGATTCATTTTTTAATAGTTTGACAGAGATGTTCAAAGAAAAGCTACAGCTGATTCAAATAATTCATGTCACATGGATCAGTTGAAAGTAGTGAAGGAATCAAAGTGTTGAAGGCTTAAACACAACTGAATGCTGACCTGGTTATGTTACACATTTTGTGTAGCATTATACAGTTTGGAGTTCTATTACACTTGAAAATTTTGAATTACTTTAATTCTTACTGCTACAAATTTCAGCTATCTAGACTATTCATGATTTGTGAATGTCACAAGAATTCTTGATGGCTGCACATTTCCTGTGACGTATAAAGGTTTTAATGAACAGAACTACAAATAGAAATGTTCACAAAAGGATTACACATTTTAGCTACAGCTACTACTCATGGCAACATGTGCCATGTGCAACAAAAGTTGC